AATACGATTAACCATGTATCACTATATATTAAATAATCAATAATTCACCAGCTTCATTCGATTCCATTCTATGTTCTTCTATCTAATAACATGAAAATTACTTCCATCAAATAGTTACAATATAAATAGTAAATTGTGAAGCAGACGAAATTGTGTGTCTCAGCTAGTTCTTTATAAAAGAACTAATGACCTACATGGCCTGTAGATAACTTTTACATGACAAATAGTCTTATAACTCTGGGTAACGTGTGTCTATCATGAATTGAAAGAATTTCTCAAATCGGTGCAGTCATACTAGTATTTACTATTCTCATAACATAGCTATTTATAGTATTAGTAGATGGTCATGGTTTATAGTGAGAAATTTATTAAAAATGAATGACGATAAAATAAATACATAAAATAATATTAAATTCAACTCCTTTTTCTTTTATTTTCTTCTATATTGTTTTATTAGTAAATTAAAAACCTACATAAACCTTTATCTAGCCTAAATTTTTATTTGAGCAATATCACAAGCACTGATCATATTATACAATTTATATGAGGCGCTCACATGCAGTTATATTGTTCAGCTAAATGCAGGTAATTTAGGTTATTTATTTAGCGATCTATACATATTATACCTAGACTATGTTCAGTATTAAATATTTATATTCATTAGAAGCCGATTGACTGACTGTTAATGCATAATTAAAACCACCTAAATTGATATGCTAAAATTATATCACACATAAGATAAATAGGTACTTAAGTACATAACTAACTAATAGTGGAAGTACTAAAAATTTTCTCAAAAATGTTACCACATAGTAGCACATAACCTTGAAACAGTTACTAATACTTTATCATTAAGTTATTATAATTAATTGAATAGGAACTTTTTAAACAGGTGTCACAGATCTAAAGATATTCTGAACGAAACATATATTCTATATAGATAAGGGGTAACAGGTAATGCCTATCATATTCTTCGGTCATCACACATTCATAAATACATTTTTATGCACTATTATTTCATTTATCTATGTATATTATCATTATGTAAGTTCAAGTAATTTACTGCAATAATTTCAAAATATAAATTTTTTAACCATGGCCCTGTAAAATAATAAAAGTAAACGGAAGGAATATAAAATAAATAATTCCAATTAAACACTTTTAATTGGAATTGTTTATTAATTATACACGTTACGCTTTGATATTCCAAGAATAAAATATTATTTCATCGAAAAACAATTTAATTCAAAACACGGAACGAATGTAATAATGTAGGAGACTGGTATATTCAGAACAAATTCAATAAGGCTGAAATTGAGACCGGTAAGGCAATATCATCAAAACCCAATTCTCTCATTAGGGACACGTTCAAATTCAAATCGAGGAAGAAAAAACGTTTTTCCTCCTGATTTGTGATTGGCTATTCAAAACCTTTTTAGTTCGCACGATGAGAAGGCACGTTATTGATCTCAATTATATCGATGGAAATTTTAATAGATTTTATTCTAATAGACCATATTCGGATGTTCGAATATTTATAACAACTGTGTAGGTATATTAGTCTAAGAAGTAAGAAGCAGTACTTTAGCAATTCAACGATTATATTTTGTGTCTGTATTTATTTAGAAGCTGAGCAGCACAACTTTATTTTATATAATAAATATTTTTGGTTATCATCTTCTTTTCGCACTCTGATAGATGTGAGAAGGTGCACCATAACATATACATTCTTTATAAAAATATGCCTACATATGTATAAGTAGATTATTTATACTATAAGTTACTTCATAAATATTATTATAGAATACCGTGACATCTAAAATTCACCATATATTTTCTGACGGTGAAACCTCTCGCCTCTCGCCCCTAATCCATCACTTTTAAAGTCACAAATCCTTATTAAATCCCCAGATAACCCTTAACACCACGTTATAAGGTATATTATTCGTCATCGACAAGATATCTTATCATAAAGCCGTTCAGCTTCATTAGGCATGCTTTGAGCACACTTTGGAAAAACGCGCGTTAGCTGGGTAAATTGCCTATTCAGGGCAATATATTGATACAAATGCGGAATGGATACAATAATGCTGATTGGTTCTGACAAAATCGTAATAATTGGTACAACGTACCTAGGATGGTGATATTTAATATATTTACTTCGTACTACTCCTTGGACGTGTTTAAAAACAGTTGTAAATGAAATTAATAGTAAAAAAATCTTTGTTGATTTCCACATAAAGTAATTCTAAGTAGACTAACTAATGGAATCTGAATATGTATTATCCCCTTTATTAATATAAACGAAAACCACCTACATATTGTCCTATTCTTCTGCTTGAGTAAAATGAGTTGGAAAAAAAAGGATAATACATTTAAATTACACCAATAATAGCTATAGGTAACTAATGGTATCGCCAGTAATTAATATTTATCGGGTAGTAAACTAAATTTTTAATGAAAAAGTGACAAAACTTTATACATTGCATATTTTATTGCGGTGCAAAATGCAACCAACCGCGAAATGGGAATCCCTCTGGTTGTAATAATATGCAATATTTCGTACGTATATTAAAGAAACTTTGTTGTGAGTTTAGTTGGTGTTTCGGATACACTTTCATACTAGTACTTTTATTAAAGGGAATAGAAATTGGGTTTTTTAAAATAATAAATACACTACATTATTTATCCAAAGTAACTAAATGAACTAACATGTTTTTTGGGAGCTACTTGCTAGTAATGTCTTAGTATTAATAAAGACAACTTTTAGTTTATTACTATTGGTTATTTCAACTTATTTTTAATAAATAATATTTTTTTTTTATTAAAGCCACAAACTAGTGTGTATACAAATAATAAAATATAAAATATTATTATAATATTAAATTTGGATAAAAAAGACACCGTCGTTCTACGAAATCATTAAAATACAAGGTTAGAGAAATATATTTTAACAAAAACTAAATATTGTTAATAGACTCTGAATTTGAAGCGATCGTAACGTGCACATAAAATATATTTTCATCTAGGCCACAGTTAAAATAATAGTTATACTCATTTAAATTAACAACTCGTGTTCGAAAGCACTCTCATAAAACAAAGTGTTTCTAAAATTATAACATTCGTTTTCATTACTTTGACGTATCGAAATGGTCATAATATCATAACTTTTGAGAGTCGCACAATATTTATTATAGTAAGTACAACAACAATTTTGAATTTCAATTGCTAATATTATATATATTCAAATATTATCTGCAATATTTATATATATTCAACTTAAATATACACAAATAAAATATAGGTATAGCGGATTTAAAACATTGTGGCGTTATCTACTAATCACGAACCATGAGTGATTATAAATGAGAAATGTCATAAAAATATATATGTAATGCTACTTGCTTGCTTGCTAATCATAATATAGAGATAATTATATAAATATACAAATAAATAATATATATATGTGTATAAATATATGTATAAATAAATATTTACTTAATGATGTTACAATCAAATTGTAAATTGTAATATCAGATTAGGTAATTTTGTATTAAGATTATTTATTAGTCTTAAAACTATATAACAAATGGAGGTTTTACTTTTATATTACTGTTTGTTATTAGCAAACATGTTGACATCACACGTGGCGGTAAGTGGCGATCATCCACTAAACACATAAATCGAATCATGGTCAGATGACGCTTGATATGATATTTCTTATGCTTTACCATTCCTGAAGACAGTGTCTACCTTCAATACTGTCTAATTTTACTGTCAACTTTCACCAGATCATATCATCCAACATATATAACACAGCTTACAAAGCAAGTTACTCGGCGGTGGAGTTGTGTTGTAATAAAATACATACTTAACAATTATTCCGAAATACAGGTTATGTTTACTCCACTTTACATTTACACAGATTGAGTAATATAGAATAGAATATAAAATCCTTTATTCAAATAACTTAATTTAAGCACTTTGTCATGGTTATTTTTTTTAATCTACCGCTCATTCGTAAGCTCTCACATTACAAGAAGAATAAAAGTTAATCAGGATCTTTGTAGCAAGAAATTTAGCATCTAATAATGAACCATCATTACAACATACAAACTCAATTAAGATTTGATTCTTAGCACAAAGTATAATACAAAACTGAGTTACAGGTTTCGTGCCTAGTTCACTTCCCACGCTCATACAATCTCAAATTGATTATGAAAATGTTTTAAGACATGTATATGATTCTGATTTGATAAATTTATTATTATTATTAATTTGTCATGTGGTAGATCTTATTTATCATATTTTTACACAAAATAATAATTTCGAACTAATTTAATGAATACAATAAATGTTCAAATTCATTCGTATTTTTAACTACGAATGAAAAATTTAATAAAAAATATGCAGAAGAATACTCGTCGTACGTATCTATGATTATAGATACGTACAAATTAAGTATGAAAATGCTTTAAGATCTGTACATAATTATGGCTTAATAAATTTATTGTTATTATTAATTTGTCATCTGGTAGATCTTATTTATCACATTTTTATACAAAATCCCATAATCATGGATACGTAAGAGATATAGTTTGTAGTTACATGAGAAAATAAAATTTAACTGTTAGTAATTAATTAACAAAATCTGAAAAATCAATTAGCAACTCAAGTGAATATTACGCAATATGGATAAATTGATCGATAAAGAGATAAACGGTATTGAAATGAAACGCTTATCTGCCATCAATAACATGCACTTCAGTGCACTTATATGAATTTGATAAGAGGTTATTCAGTAAAGCGGAATACTGATAACAGATTTATTTGTGGAAAAAGAAAAATTATTATACTTACTTTACTTTCATACATACAAACATATCTGCAACAGTTGATAACAGTTGTGTTTCTGGTAGCGACTACAAGTTCGACCCATCCGACCCAGCTGAAATTTACACATGCGCAGTGCACGGTAGTCGCCTCAGACACACCGTGAAATGACGCAGTGACCTACTCAACATCGCGTATAATTTTAAACATAATTCCCAAAAAGCAACGTTAAAGAAAATAGTACAAATCAATTGAAAGCTTTCGGCTTTGTTAAATAATATCGTTGAGTACACGAATAGAAATACACGCACGCGCGGTCGTCTGTCAAAACAAACCAACGCTTTTGCCATGTAAACATGAACGAGCTAAAGATCCTACTTTTTATACTGTCAGTGATCATTTACTGTTTGTACAGTGTTCATATGTGGTTCATGAAAGATACTATAGAGGAGAATAATACCGAAGTATCAGAAGCAGCCACATCAGTTGATATTTTAGAAGCCACTCAAGAAAATATTTTAAACGACGGAACAGAAATAAAAAAACAAGCAAAAACTAAAGTTATTCCTTTATTTTTGAAAAATGGCTGCAGTGTGCTTGAAGTATTTACACAAAAACCAATAATAACCGATTCTAAAAAGGAACCTAAAATCATGGAAGGAGATACGAATGCAATAGCAGTAATAGGAATTACTGTATTTCTCGTGATATTGGCTTTAAATGCTTTATTAGATGTACTTAAAGTAAGAGAAGAAGAAAAAGCTAGAAGGAAATTAAATCCAGATGGCGAAAGAAGACAATCATTATCAGAGTTTGCAAATAAAAAATCGCTTCGACGAGAGTCCAGTAAATTTGGACTTCAGTTATTTCAAATTGCAGAATCATTTATATCGCCTAATGAGGAAAAAAAGACCAATCGTCAAACAAGACCATATACTAGAGGAGAATCTACGACCTCTTACTTTAGTGAAAAAAGGACTCAACATGAAACTTCCGCTCCAGCATCAATTAGCGAAACATCTTGCGGTGAATCAAAACTTGTCAAAAGACAATCAGCGGCTAAGCTGTTTGGTATGTTACAGAATCCTTACGGATTATTATAATCACTTATATTCTTGTCGTAATGCAATGTAATAAATATATGTTCAATTTTAAACAATAACATGTAATTTGAATGAATTCTTTCAGTGAATGTAAACGTTTATTATTTAAAATTTCAAGTTCTAATCTTTCTCTTCTATCTTTGTTTTATCTGTTTTAAAAAACAAGGTCTGTCAGACGACTGAATGAGATTTTCAGGTAAACAAATGTTCACACTTTTATATAGAAGTAGTACACTGTTTCCAATTCAACCTATTTATTATAAATTACATATGAATCCAATTTATCTCATGTTTTTTTAACTTGTTTATTAAGCTTGTTTACAATTATTTAGCTATTTATAGCTTATTTAATTGAACTCATTATTGTTTTGCATATTAGTTTATCAGAATTTCATATAACCATCACATTTAGAGAGTAGATTTTCTTCTATGGCCTCCTCCTAATCTGCTTGAACTGCCCGAAGTATTGTGGTGTATTTACTTCTTGACTAATTGGCTTGTGGTGTAGTAAATTGGTTTATTCGAGGAAATCCTCTGTATAAATGTATTAATAAATTCCTCAAGTAAACAAATAACTACCTTGAGACACAATATGTCAAACTATATAATTAATTGGGGTCCCTTCTTAATATATTTTTGGAATTAGGAATATTACATGTTAACAGTAATACATAATTTACATACAATTTTATTAAATTTACAAAATATCAATAAGACATAATATTAGGTACTGTATAAATTATTTTTTTAAATACTATTAAAAAAGTTGTGTTTCAAATTTCAGGATTCCATATTATGAAAATAGAGTAAGAGTAATAAATAAAAGTCATTAAGGTACAATTGAAGCTAAAGTTGTAATGAAATAAAAATGAATAATACAATAAATATATAAGCACTATATATACTGTCGTTTATTATATAAATATGTATATACTGCATTATACTTATGTGCATATGATATATATAATCTATAATATAAATACCATTGTATTTATTGATATGTATTTATAGATAGAACTATGTTTTAATATACAAGAAATAGATAATTAACCAAACTTTACTTGATACCTCATTCTATAGATTAAGCAAAAAATAACTAAAATCCCTTGTAATTGGTAACTCGAACTAAACAATAACACAAGCATAAAAAAAACAAGACTCCTGACATTGCTATCTCGATCTTTTTCATAATACTGGACCGATCAACTTGTTATTGATAGAATCAATTTCATTTATTTGATAAACATCCTCAAGGCCCAGGATATTTCTAACGTTGTACAAAATCATTAACTATACAGAAATCGACCAAGATATTTTTTTTGTTATATAGCACCAGTATACTTATTAATGTCTTTTAAATCAGTTCTATTATTAATATGCTTTGCCTTTATATGATTGCAAACTTGGCCTTGATTTAGCCTGGATATGTAGATATCTATTTATCGTTATCCTTTTTTAAGGACAGGAGTGACACGCCCCTAACGACTACTTCAATTAATTTATACAAAATCTTGTATATGCCTATAATTTTCAATAGCTTGTAACTATTAATTAATAGTGTATTAGCAGTTTATAACTTATGAAAGTTCTTAAAAATGTATCAACAATGATATTAATGTAACAAATTAGCATAGTGCAAATAATCATTATATCTAATATTTTCGTATTTTTTGTTAATAATATACTGTAATAATCAATATAGTATGTTAGTATATTCTTTGATTCTTCTATGCTAGTAGTCATATAAAGTAAAGTCTTCAGTAATAATATGCTTAAATAATTTTCAATTATACGAATATTTCATAGCAATCCATTGTTTCGTCTGTATAATAACTAGATTAATGACATATTTGGAACTTAAGCATTTATAAAACAAAGCAGACAAAATGCATCACATAAACATAAACAAAATTAAGAACTAAAGTATAAGCGGTCTGAATATCTTGTGAATTTCACATACTATAGTTATGAAAATAAATATATATTATAGTAAAAATAGATTTTTATAAGACTTATTATTACCTGGAAATTAAATTCAGTCATGTCCAAATGTTCAAGTGTCGATACTAATCCTTTTTCTAGGTGCTCGCCCGGTTCCAATGGTCCGTCGTTCGTCATTCCCAGCATTACCACTCAACCCTGAAATCCAAGCTCTAATGTTGGGCCACAGGCAGTCTTCTTTCGACAGCGATGATGAAGGCGACGGAAGGGGTCGGCGAGTTCGAATCATTCGTAGATATTAGTGATTTTTTTTCTCTGAGTAAAAAAGATACAAAATCTTTTGAGGTGATGACAATATAAAATAAATAATAATAGTAAAATATATGGTATACTGTTACATATGGTATCTACGATCAGAAAAAAATTCAAATAATTTTCTGTTGTTACTTCGAGATGTTCAATTTTTTTTTTTGATAACTTATGTTTCTTCAAATCGGAACTGTTTCTGTATTTCACAACGTGTTTAAGTCAATTCTTATTTCCCCATATTATAGAACAATTGATAACATGCATAATTGTTGTATAATTATTTATAAGAACATGGTTTTTGTAAAGGCAAAAATGTTCGAATTTTTATACTCATAATATGATGTTTTAATATTGGATTATATTGTCATTAACCTCAATTTGAATAAAAACATCACTTACTACATCATTAGTACTCTAACAACTTTTAGATAAGTGGTTTTGATTGTTACTGCGAAATTTTGATAATGTTCTTAGTTCAATGTATTTCATTGTAAAGAAGTCAATTTATAAATATCATTTAGCATAAAGTAAGATATTGTAATACCTACCTAAAAACTAAATTTTCTAAATTCCAATGATATTCGAACGCTGAAAATCCTTACATTATTATTGTCTCTACGTTTTAAAATAAGAACAGAGCTAAACTTAATTTAGTGTTGTAGTAAATTCCGCCATTTTTGTTTAATTTAATTTTTTTATTTTATTTATTCATTTTAGGAAAATTAACGGTGAAATTAAATCGTCGGAGCCAAAGGTAGAAAAAAAAGGTGAAAGGTTACATGTTACTGATTATATTTATCATTAATTAGTATTTATCAATTACATTCCTTATTGATTTTCAAAATTGATATACTAATTATGTTAAGGAAATATATAAAATATTAGAACCCGCCTATTTACATCTATCTCCTAGTTATTTTTTATTTTTTTACCCATTTTTCTACCAAAGGGAAGGTCTAGTTAAAAATTAAAAGTCTGATCCAAATCTATTGTGTACTGACTATGTGTGTGATAAATTAGATGTATATTTAATTCTATTTATAGTACCTTTAACCTTTCTATATTACAAAATTCTGACTGTAATAAATTGAATTATTCTTCAATAAAATTGTTTAATTCCATTACCACTTCATTTGTTTAAATATCTTTGTTTACATTTCGCTTTTAGGCTATAATTATACGATAAATGAAAAATATATATAAAGATGGGACATGTGGCCGTTAAACAAGCCCATAACGCACTTGATCAAATTAAAAAATATGTTGTACTTCAAATATATATAGGCAATATAGTACTCATTCTATCAACACTTTTCTTCTTACTCCGGCGTTCTTACCGGAAATAGCCATTAAATATTTATTAAAAATAAAATGCATTATTTTGAAAATGGAATGTTGAACATAAAGAGACCATTTTCTACGTTTCTTTTTTTAAAATTATAGTTATCTGCTCATATATTCCAAGGCGTCACCAATATCTATAGTCATCAAAAAACGAAACGTGCAAAACACTTTATATTTTTTTTCTTATTATTACAACATACAACAGGTATATTTCCAACAAACACTACCTATACTCGAGGAATTCGGGAGATCCGTTTTTACTATAACAACTGCTACTAATTGTCTTAAAATTGTGGGCTCTGAATTTGATGTCCTGATCTTGAAGGTAATTTCACTTCATTGGAAAGACTTGCCTATTTTAAGATTTTTATATAGTTTATGTAAATACATATATAGTAGTAAATACGTAAAATTGTATTCTTGTTGAAATGGTACGATAAAGTATTAGATTATATTATTAGTAAAACTATACTTTATTTTTGTTTCTACATACTTACATAAATAAGGCAATAACATAACATACAAAAGAAAACATAAACCTCTTAAAACATAACACATTATCTTCTTTATATTAGACACCATTTGTTTAGACAGTATGGCGCGAAATGCCCTCGACCTAACCAAGCCCACGTGGTAATCTTTGGAGTAATGCCAACATACGTCGAGATTTCTTGACGATATTGCTTTTTCGCCTTGGCCAATGCTCGGTATTATAAATAAATAGGTCATCATCTTCCATATTTTTAAATTATATAAATAAGTACATCATATTCTAATTTTTTTTTTAATTTTTATATCATGGCTAGAACAATAACCACTACAGCTTAACACACCGCATTACTCTGTAGTAATTAATAATTGTTCTTAGAAGAATTAAATCAAAATTGAAACTATGTAACGACTCGTAATGTTTCTTCTAAAGAATTTTTTCTTTTAGGTAAGGTTGGTTTGCATATGCGATCAAACCCTTCAAAAGTAATCTGTAAAAACAAAATGAATGCAAATATGATATGCTAAGAAAATATTGAAATCAGCTTTGTTTAACGCATGTGACTTATGTCGCATTATAACTGTCAGTTTTTTAAAGCAATAATAATAATAAGTAAAATTGATAAATAATACCGTTTTAAATATATGAATACAAAAAGACAAAAAATAGATACATACTTATATGCTAACCTAGATTCATCGCTATTGAATTATTTTAAAATCTATCAATTTTTTCAGCGAAAATACCGTTTTTCCTTATCCTAGGTTTCCTATCTAATCTTAAGAACATTACGAAAATACTGGGTACTTTAATGGAAACTGTTGTTGCCTCTTTTACTATCTTCGTACACTTTCGAGACCCTTTCCTATCAGTAGCATTTTATATTATAATCTTCTTTCTATATACATTAAACTAATATTACAATTGGGTACCAATCGCCATGTAATAATGTATACAATTACCATTTAAGATAGAGAAAGTCGGATTTTTTCAGTTCTTACAAACTATTACTGTATACATATTATATATGTATTGTCAAATGACTTAAACTCTTTCTTTCTTCTTCTGTCATGCTATACAAAAATAAAATGTAGTGTCTATTTGTTTTATCAAACACTAAATGTATATGAAAGTATGTACGGCAATTACATCAAAAAAATATTTAATCAAAATTAATGTGTATTTGTATGTTCTTGCTAATCTCTGGAAAAGCTGGATCGATTTTGACGGGATTTTCATTCACAGATATCTAATGTTATAAGTAGTAACTTTAGCTACTGTTATTTCAGATCTTTTTATTTATATTAATAAAAAAAGTTCAATTCCAAGCTGATTATGTTGCTGATAACAGCTTGTTTGATCATATTTCTCTTCATTATAAAAACATCTTTAAATTAATCCTAAAATCCTTATATCCTAATGTAACATTCAATTAATAAATCATTAGTATACGAGTAAATATACTTACCTTTTACAAACATTGTTATGTGAAAGCATTATAAAAAATTCAAAGTATTTTTTATGCCGCTAAAGACCTTGTCGTTTAAAAATAATCCAGGTTCGGTCGGATGGATGCTAGATGCAGTGATCGGTTGACGGGAATAGGGAGAGCTCGTGCCACTTTTAAAATTGTGCCAAATATTGTATATACATTGAAGTATATTATATTAAAATATGTGGTTATTGATATCGTTGGTTGTGTTGTGATGCTTTGTAATTAATTAATTGGATCATCAAATAAAACATCCATCAGATCAAAGGACTCTGAAAAAACGTGTCATAAATTATAACAATTATTTACATACATTTTGTAAAAGTTGTAACACAATGTAAATCGCCAACAATGAAAGATATACCCAAAAATATCACTTTGTATCTTATATAGAACGGCATAAAGTATGAATTACGATAAAGGAATGCTAACGGCTACGGTGCTCCATTGGAATTACAGAGGTTTCACGGAATTTCCTCTTCAGCAGCTCAGTGGTGAAGAATCCGAGGTGACTGATATATACCTAAAGGATAATTTAATATCTCGACTGCCTAATGAAATCTATAGATTGGAGAACTTGGAAAGCTTATATTTGAGCGGTAATGACATAACCGAGTTGCCGCGCGAGATATCGATGTTGCGGTGCCTCAAATGTCTCGATATAAGTGGTAATCGATTGAAGCACATCCCTGATGAGATTGGTGAAATGATAAACTTAAAGTTTTTAATATTGGATGAGAATGAATTAATTTGTTTACCTCTAAGACTTGCAGAGTTACGCGCCTTGCGATATCTATCAGTTTGTGGTAAATACTTTGCAAACATATATTTAATCGTAACAGCAACTTAATAATTTGAAATTTAAGATTGAGAAATATTTTACATACAAAATTAATGGTCATATTATGGATTATATTATTGAATAAGTTGTAAATGAACTAATAAATATTTATATTATTATTATTATTACCTCTTCCCTAAAATGTATAGTAATGATTCTTTAACTATTAGCACCTTAGGGAAAGTTGGTCTTAATTGTACATACCAATAGTATTATTTTCATATATTGACGGATCCAGTGTTTTAGCGGTTTAGCACAGATTTACTTCTGAATGTTTGACTCCTCACACGGTACAAACGTTTGTATTCATGAGTACCTACGATTGTTTATACTGGTCTGGCGTTTACTAACTGTCTAGTACTCGTAACACAAGCTCTACTTAGCTTTGAACTAGATGCTGCTCTGTGAATTGTCCAGGGATACAATTTATAAACATAAACAATATCATCTAGTTATTATCGATTATATTTCGTATTACCTATTACACCCTTTCAAACTAACGACCTGAGAAATAGCCCGTTATATAGGCACACCCTTACGTAGTATACGTTATCTTGTAATTAAGGTGTTTCTTTGGTTGACAACGTAGTCATTTTTTGCAATACATAAATAGTATTATGTTAGCTTTTTTTGTAAACTGCGCTATATATTTTTATATCTATGTATGTATTTATTTCTATAATTATATTGTTATATTCGTCGCCATTACATATATTCTATTCTGTTACACAAGTATAGATAGCAATAATACAAAAGTAAAATTACTATAACAAGTTCATCATACGTAGACGATAGACAATGCCTCTGACTGCCACTTCACAGTAAAGAGTGATGGTATGATGTCATAAAGATTTAAGGCAATAAAATTTTATGTTGTATTTATGTTATTTGTACTAATATTATGAATGCAATAGTAACTCTGTCTGTCTATTTGTCGCACTTTCATGCCAAAACTACTCAAGCGATTTTAATAAAATTTGGTACACAGATAATCTAAATCATGGGAAATGATATAGGCTCCTTTTTAATGTAAAAAAGGGTCATAAGGAGAGTCTAAGTTTTCAAAGTTAGAAGCTTGAAACTTATTCTTTAGGCTGTTGATATATTTGAAATTAAAGATTCTATAAATTTTGTCCTTGAGAGTGAAATAAAATTGGGGATGAAAGTTTGTATGAAAATTCATCATTCGTTGTCTATTCCACGGAGATTGAGTCGCAGACACAGCTAGTAAGTTATATTTTTCGCGAAGATTGAGAGAGAGGTATTCTATCAATAAAGCTAGTTAAATTAACATTACTAATTACCATAGCGACCGCACACGAACGATTTAAAATAGTAGTTTATACATTTCCCGGTCTAGTTACAATTTTATAGCTCGTAAAGTGAGGAAGACAGTAGCTACCGTTCCGATAACAAACTGCCAGATAAATCAACGGTTACTTCCCCATTGATTCCACTGACCCATTTGCAAGTTGCCTAACAGTATTTAGGCTTAAAGGTGAAGTTAATGGTAATTATATGATAGGAATAACAATGGTGTTTTTATTTTAGAATGGACTATTTTATAGGTATTTAACGGTGTTCCTTCTTTTTACATGTAAATAGTTCATTGTAGTATAACTCTGTCAGATTATACTGCTCATTAAAGTAAAGGGAGAGAAGGACGGAAGAATGTCGAATTATATAAAAGCTAATCTACATATTAATACGTGAAGCAAAATCTTTGTACACCTTGTTACGAAAATTGTTCGGATGGAGGAGTACGAAATTTCGTACACTTATAGTTGATATAGAGAAGCAGTGCAGACTGCTAATACATTTTTTAATCGTCCATAAAAATACATTAAATGAATAAAAAATCATTACACACTACCATGTTTTTGACACACACACACTTATATAGAAATACTCTTTTGTTTATTATTAGTCTATGATTAAATTGAGAATTGCTTAATAATTTCGATTACTGGGCGACCACTAGAATGCATAAAAATATCATCTTTTACACAGTAAGCTCAGATATGACAGCGGATAGGGACCAATGGAAGAATAATCTGTCAACTTCAAATAATGATATAAAAGCCAATAGTGATCCTCTAGCGGATACATCTGTCGCGTTCAAACATAACATACTTTTTCAATTATTATAAAACATTCTGCATAGGAAAATTTTATACAAATTATAAAAATAAAAATAGAAGCCGAGTTATGTTTGAAATGTCTACATAGTATTAATAAATTATTGCGTGTATTTACAGATAATAAACTTCAGTGGCTACCACAGAAACCAGTATTTAATTATCATCACTGCGAGTTTAGATTTTGGTGGAACATCAATTTAAAATCCATTCCATATTCATTATGGTATCATATGTTTCGAGGACAGCAAACTAGGAGCCTTAATATTGGGTAATGTCAATCTATATATCTTTATTTTGCTTGATATGTATGTACATTGTTTCTATACACAAGGAATCATTTTTAAAAAAACTACCATCAGCTGAATACTGTATATACAATATATAAGAATCTCTGTCTATTTGAAATTACTGTTAATAAGTCAATGATTAACAATGCTAATCAACCCTTAAGGTTGATAAGATTCACTATACTAATTTCTAGAAAATAATGATAAAAGTAATCTACTATAGGTAGATTACTTTTATCATTATTTTCTAGAAATTAGAATAAATATGCTATTAAAAGACACCATTATGTAATTCCCGCAATTAGGCGTATTCTTTCATAGCCTTCTATATAACTATAAACAATATGCCTACATTATAATCATCTATTTTCAGATGTCTCAAAATACCGACTTATCATAGTACATCTGAAAATAACAGATCCCAATTAAAATTCAATCAAGACTCAAAACAATGGGAATTCTACGTCGATAGACCGCCCCAATACAATGTTGTGCTTAGAAACAGTGCCCACAATCCACCGAGTCTCTTGGAAATATGTAAGAGACTATTATACGAAATTATAAATGATACTGCCAAGAAAAAGACAAAAGCACATCAAGATAATATTGATAGTCTATCTGGTAGACTTAATTATAATCGTAATCTAGGTTACATAGAAAATAATTTGGAAGAAATCAATATAAATGAAGAAAATGTAAATAATTATGATGTAAATGGTAACAATGCTTTGTATTTGCCACAACAGAGACATGTTTTTGACAGAAGTAAAATACATAGGAAAGATTATTACGTTGCAAGGGATATAGTTGAAAATTACTTTAGCTGTTTACCCAAATTCATGAAAACTGAATTAAGCAATGGACCAATTTCTAAATGTGAAAATGTACTCTGTAAGCGGCCGGTGTTTGATTACGTGTATTATGAATTTTGTTTTGGGTAAGTAAAATATTTTTTTATTTAATTAATGGAATAATCTTCCCAATTGAATCTATATACTTAACTGGAGGATAAGAAAAAAATATTAATACAAAAAAAAATTACGGTCGTCAGCGTCTAAAATGTTCTACATTAATAAATTATATTTGATTAGATTTGTAGTAGTTATTATAAATTCGTCTGCGTAGGTTCTCTACCTATTTCAGCCACTAAGCATCTTGCTCTATAAGATGTGTTTAGTTCAATTTAATGAAATAAAATGAAATTATTTTATTACAGTGAATACGGTGATTAGGTGCATAGTTTAAAAATTAAGGTTAATATAAAACAGTGAAATTAAAGGATAAGAGGCATGATCTCGTAGTTCCAGGAAGACACACAAGAAAATAAAAAATGATCAGAAAGTGAAATTAATCAAGTAGATAATTGTGTTATAATGTTAAAATTTTTCTTTTGCAGCAAAATTATATTGATTGATAACACAGAAGATATAGTTCTGAGTGCAGTTTTTTGTTCTAAGTCCTGTGCAGATATGTGGAAAATAGGAAGAGTGGATTTAATACCTTGGTCGATATTGACGAACAAACGCTAAAATCTACGTTTAATAGTTATATTTTGTTTATAATGTTATTTGAATTATATTGTTGGATACATAAATTATTTTTCATTTCAAAATAAATAAATGAAACATTTGTTTAAAGATAAGAATATAAAAAATTTCAACATATATCTTAGACTATAAAATTTTATGATTTTTTCATTATTACGGGTAGGCAGCATTAGCTTTACCGCCATACTTTTCAATTTCACAACTTTTCTATAGTTCACATTCTAGTAAGGCAGAAACAACAGTCAAACATATACTTCCTTAACAACTAAGTACTAATACTATCTAACTTACTACACTAATCTTATTCTATGTATCATCTGAATTAACATTATAAATGCGACTGTATGTTTGTTTATCATTTTTTCAATAAATACTTAAAATCATAAATTTTACTACTCTACATACTGAATCATCATTACAATCTATACTAGTTAGATCCTTAATACATCTACTTCATTTTCTCCATATGCCCTATCTACGTACCTTTGAACCTATTTAAAATTATTTATTAATAACATATATGTACTGCCCCATAGTCCCTGTTATTAAAAAGTATTTAGTAGCACAGTATAAAGATTTTTGTTTTTGCACCAATAATATTTGAAATATGAAAGTGTAAAGTGAAAAGATCGCCTGTTGAAATTTCAACCTCCATAACATGAAGGTACATTTAAAAAATTACTAATTTTTATTCTATATGGTGCAATATTTATGAATAAAAAAAAATAAATTTGACACATCGTTGCAATATTTTTAATGTAACCATGTTCACAAATAGAGCCAAATCGACTTCACGTAAATCAAAATATGTCTATCAAATTATGTAACATATTTTTTTAAGACAATCAATAGTACAGATGTCTTCGAAGATTAATTTGTAAAGATTTCGTTTTCGTTAGCAAGTGGCTAAAGTTAAAACCTATATATCTAGTGTTTATTTGCTTGGAAGATTCGTATTTTACTAGCACCTAATACTTTAAGCATTATGAAAGAGAAAGGATCGCCTATTAATCTTAATTCACGCGTCATAGATGAGATCCGATCTAACAAAATAAAAGATTCGGTAAATTTCCAGGGCTACTTTCAAGGTCACCACTGCCATTTACCGGTAGACAAGTTATCTGTCTACAATATTAAGTGCTCCAAATTCCGTAGATTCTTTTTTAATTTATCTACGGTTAGAATGGGTGATATACGAGCTCGGAATCTGTACAGGTAAACAACAGTTTTAATATTTACTATTTTAAGTAAATATGTTATTTATTTGCATTACAGATAATCAAGCCATAGTGTTATTAGCAGGCAGCGCTGTTATATGCCTTTTTTAGGAGTTAAGTAATAAATATATTATATAGTTAGTTAATTTAATTTATTAGCGCAAACTATATTGTATACCCATACCCAACATAACGTACATAATCAAATAGCATTGTAATATTTGATCTTAATTACAATGATCTTTTCCATGTGTAAGATACAAAAAAAACTTCTTACGTAATATCAGTTGTCTAGTACCCGCAGCACAAGCACTATGCTGTGTGAATTATCCAGGGCAAATATTATTATTACTACAAATTTTGGAATATACCTATTACTAGTATATATTCTATGTACATTAAAAAGGCTGGTTAATTAAGTTTGATCACATTTATGGAAGTATATTATTTATTAATTTTAATTTCTAGATCATACACTGCTCTGTGTGCTGAGAAATACCGGCATTTCTTATATTACCCTTATGCAATACACCCCTATAGTAAATTAAGATTATGGCTGGAAGCCGTTTTTGTGGTCGCCATATTGATATCCAACACTGCTCTGGCGTTTCATTACAGTGAAGATTATCCTGCTCACTCGGTAATATTTAATATTCGTAGTTAGATCAGCTGGTCTATCGTACTTCTATGCTCTTGGAATATGCACTAGATTTTTTTTTTATTCAAAGCGCTGATTTGATTTTTGTTATTAGATGCAGGTACAGATAAGTTAATTTTTCATAATACAAGTAACGTATTGCCATTACTTGGCGAACCCTTGCTTATATTTGAGAATAAACGACCAGTTAACACTCCAACGGTATTACGAGACGCCACCTTTTTAGTGGTTATTCCATTAATATTGAATGGCAAAGAAGCTCAAAAAGGCGATGGAAAATAAGGAGTCCACGCTATGGAAACTGGTAATGTGTGTCTGTGTAGTTACAGGAATAGCACACTATGACATTATAATAGCCCATAATATGAATATGTTCTTTTTCAGGATTACCACACAGATATTTCTTTTGTGACAGATATTATTACTATGCTAAATATTATAATTAATATCTTCACTGGATACATAGAAGGAAAGACATGCCAATACGCAGTGTTGGATTTCAAAAAGTTATTATGTCATTACGCAAAGACCTGGATGACGGTAGACCTGCTATCGGCGCTAAGTTTTCTACCTATTGTAATACATATTGAAGATACTACCCCAATTCTAATTTTGGTCGCAATGAAAATGTTAAGGGTGCCAATTATGTTAAAATATATAGGGAATGTAATGACAGTTATGAGGATTAATGTAAGTGTTACGAAATTAATGATCTTAACATGTAGGTAATCAAAACTATTTATTTAAAGATTAGTAATAATGTTTATATTATTATATTCATCCATAAAAAAAATATATGATTGACAGTGTAACAGAGGCACTTGTGCATGTACCTGTATCACGGGTCACCAAGTCCATGTTATGTTGATGAAAATGTATTATGGTTTGTGACATCAGTGAATGAATAGATGGAGATGGAGTTTATTGAGCGTGTAGTATATAAGCCAATTCACTAGGAATCCATGTTAGTTGGACAATATAAATTAACTTCGTCTTCATAGTGTTTGATTGGTGCTTCATCAGCGTATATCTATTGTTAGTGCAGAAAGTAACACCAATCCATCATCGTCATTAAAAAACTACTACCTAACGTGCTCCTTCATCAGTTTGTAGTACGAACTTGCGTGGAAATATTCCTGTTTATATTCTCCTACTTGACGTGGAATATCTATTTCCAATTTGCCGTGGAGTATATTGCTGAAGGTACATTCAAGCCTACAGATCCAAGGACTTGCTCTTGGATATATATGGGGAAGTTATGGAATGCTACAACAATTGTCCGATTTACATATGCTTGGGAAAGGGCAGGTAACCTATTATATTAGCGTAACCATATAAATGATTAAAATATATTATATAATATATTTTAATCATTTATATGGTTACGCTACTCTTTAGGTATTTTTATAGAACAAAATACATCTAACATTAATATAAAAATATAATGGCAAACAAGCGTTTGCTTGTTTCACTGGATACATAGAATTCTACTTTCTATCAAGGGAACTTAACAGTTCCCTTGATAGAAAGTAGAATAATTAGTAACCTTAGACAATTCACTCCTTAAACCCTAATTCAAGATAAGTACAGCTTGCGTTTTGGGTACTAGAGCACTAAGATAAATCCTTAGATGTATTATTTCTCTTAGTCATTAGTCATCAGGCATTATGCCCGTCATGTATATAATTTTGTGCACAAAAGAATCAATAGATAAATGTATTTTTTTTTTAAACTTTCATTTTATGTATAGAAAACACTCTGACGACTGTGTTATATGAAAAATTGGTAGCAATGCAGATGAAGGTACTGAATGCACTGTATTCTCTTTCTGGTGTTTACTTTTTAATTTTGTGCTATCCGACTGCCTATAGAGACATTTACTACTCACTTTTTATATCCATGTAGTGTGATTACTATCTTTACGAGTGGTGATTACCTAGTCCACTGGCACCTATAAATATTTAATTAATTAATGTAATGTTGTATGTAGGGCAGATTCTTAATATGTTGCACTAATGAATATTGATCCAGCTATAGGTACAATGTAGATAGATACAAAGAACAGAAATAGCCAGATCAATGTATAAAGTAGGCGTGTTACTAAACTCTTTAAATAACTAAAATAATTATTTTATAACATCGACAATTTTACGCAAAATTTTAAAATATTTACAGTTAGCATGCTACGGAAAAATTCAAATTTAAATCTCATTGACACAAATGGATGCTTTGAATACTTCTTCATGATATCTTGGTTTATAGCTAAGGTAAGAAAGATCTCTGCATAGCTAATAGACTATAATACATATGTATTACCTATTTAATAATTTATATTTTCTCAGTTTGATATACTTTTATATACATGTAGGTATATTATATCAGAATAAATAAATGTATATTTCAGTAGGTACCTGTCACAGCGCCATCTAGTTCGACACGGGAACTAAGCAAAGCTTCTAGTCTAGTTGGCATGGTCACTAAACCATTAATATTAAATAGTAGACAAACTGACGACGTAATTAAACCTATATTTTACCTGTATTAAACTGGTATCACTAAACAAAATTAAATACTAATAAAGCAATAAAACACATAATAGAAAATAAAGCAAGTAGTAAGCTAAACTTAACATATGTATCTACGGTATAAACTATACTGAAGAAAAAAACTGTTCATAGATACAGTAAATTACATTTAAGTATATGCTAATTTATTATAGTTACTGGTGTATCACTGTGCATTGAAATTTATCATTGCTGTATTTGGTACTGAATCGGCTAAAGCGCAGTACTTTACGATGATTAAGCAGGTGGAAATGTATATGAACCAAAGGAAATTTCCGCCGAGGATCAAGAAGAAAATTCTTAAATTCTATGCCATTCGGTTCCAGTCAAATTTCTTTGTGGTAAAGCTATTTTTTATCTAATAATAATAAACATGAATATAATCAAATATTGCAAAACTTAAGTATTATATATTGATATAATACTTAAGTTTTGCAATACTTTGTATTCTTGTAAATGTACAATTATTTGTATTCTTTTGGCAATCCAAAAGATTTTAATTTACAATATTCTTTTATATATTAAAAGTATAAATACAAATCTTTGTATATAAATTACGGAAATAATGTATTTAAGTATTTCTATCAGTTCTCTATTACCCATATGTTTCAGGTACTATATTTTAAATTTTATTTGAAAATACAATTTTAAAACTGAAATAGCAGCAGCATCATCAACTTTATAAAATACATTAACTGCTTAATAAGCTATTCCTATAGGCTAACTCATGTTTCCATAATAGTTTTTATCTATCTTTACAACAGTTCCAATTGACAGAAAGAACCGAATACTATCCACACAATTTTCAATATCTTTTTTTGTAAGTGTAAATATGTAGTATCAAAAACTTTTGCTGACCTTCTGTTATTCTGTTCTAGGAGTCCCGTATTCATGCCTGTGTCTCAGGTCAATTACGCGAAGACATCATAATGCACACAGGACGGCAGCTAGTAGGAGAGCTGGAGTTCTTGAAACAGCTACCACGATCCTTGCACGTGCAAATTTGCATGAAGCTAAAAATGGTCATCTTCATAGCTGGCGATATTATATTCAAGATCAACACAATTGGTAAAGTGTATATAATCTCTCTTTATTTCCCTGTGGTAAAACCATGGTTATACCAAATCCGACAAATAGCTACTGAAGATACTACAAGGATAAATATTGTATTCTGCCATTCTCCTTCCACTATCATGTACTTTCAATCTTATTTATTACATATTGTATTTTGTTTGCCACTCAATACTGTATGGTAATAATTTATTCAGTGTAGTATAATCATCGTAATTTATTCAACCTATATCATATTCACATTCGGTCGGGCCTGGTTATCTGCATTACAGGTTGTACTTATTTCAGACACCAGTTTCTCACAACAATTGATTGCAATAGAGGGTACATTTATGCATTGTTTTATAAAAAATACTACATGCACCTAAGTATTTGTTGCCATCCATGTTTGTGAGAAATAAATAAATTATTATTATAAATTCTCGATAGGTACAAAACATGTTAAGTGATTTCTAAATAACGCTAGGGTTCAGTACTTCGCAATTCGTTTGTAGTAAATACTACATATTTGCAAACTACTAGATGTCTCTAGTATATACTATAAATAAACCTGAATATTTCATACATACAGAGACATCTAGTCACAGACTAAGCTCAACATTTACTCTAGTTTATTTAATTTACTACAAACTAATTACGAAGTAATTTGTTCAGAACTTCGTAGAATAAGATGAGGAAACAATAATACCACAGATAAGACATTGTAATACAAAAGTTATTCCATTTATATAAACATTTTTTATTTTCATTTTCTATTATTTTAGGTGACTGCTTATACTTTATAGACAAAGGCACCGTCGCAATATACTCAGAGTCAGGAAGGGAAGTATGTCATCTTGAAGACGGCGATTTCTTCGGCGAGATTGCGCTAGTCATGAAGCATAGGTTGCGAACAGCATCAGCTGTTGCAGTTACCAATTGTGAGCTGTTTAGACTTGGTAGAGAAGACTTTGAGAGCTCTATAGCTTGTTACCCGACTGTGTATGAAGACATAAAGAGGGTAGCAACGTTCAGATACGAAAGGACATGTGTATTAGACGAACATCATAAAACTGAATTAAAAACTCCTGAAGAATTAAAAACGCAGAAATGATTCTGTTATTTGTTTAATAATAATAAAGGTCTTGGTCTAGATTTACCAATTTTTATACAAAAAAATTGGAAACTTTAATATTCAATTTCTATGTAAATCTAAGGTAACAGCTTGACTCCCAAAATTAGATTTAATGGCTGAAGATACAATCAATATTTTTTTTTCAAATGTTGCAACCTCTTAAACTCTCTATATAAATTGTTTGATTTCTCTAATATCCTGTAATGGATCTTGTAGTTACATCGAAATACGTGTATAGGACTTAGTATCTGACTTTGTAGGTAGGTACTATAATGGAGATAACTAATAATGTTATTTCTATCTATGTGCAAAAGATTTATTTTATTACATATATGACTATCTTGAAGCAATCATATTTGTTACATATATGATTGCTCCAAGATATTTATGTTAAGTTAATATTACAAGGTAAGATTATTTTTTGTGTTTATTAAAAATAAAAATAATAATTTTAAAATCTCTTTAATTCAACCAACCACCATTTTTCATACATGCTATAAATATTTACAAATGAGAATCAATAATTGTGATAAAACAACTGTTTGAAACTTGTACGGTCTACATATAACTGGATCTCATTGCTAAAATATACATAAAAATCATGGTTTAAGGCCCTGTTAAACTAAGCGCTAACATGTATTGGAAAATTTACATTCTAATTGCTAAATAAATATAACATTTGTCACAGATAACAATATTATACGCCATAGAGTATCTACCTACCTATCGATCACATTCTTTAGAAATTTTGTTCCTTCTGTAAACTGCTAAAAATAAATATATTCTATTAAAATTACTTATTGATTTACTAATATTACTGTTTTGTCTTTTTTATATGAAACATAATTTATTTAAAAAAATAATAAATTTAAAATAAAGGAGAATTTTGATGATTCCATTTGTTTGTGAGCAGGTTACAAAGAGACATAAAACGCAATTATACTTGCAATAAACACATTATATTGTCGTTTTCATGATTCTAGATTACTTATGGCCTTTTCTGTCCAGTTACGGTGAAGCAATTAGAGGGTTATGATTCTGACTGTTAGGTATGTATGTATGTAGGTACGTTTAAATATTCCCTTTATTTCTAAATTAGGTACTTAAATAATTTGACAAACGAGGTAGCGTCGGAAACCTTTCGAATTTGGTGCCACTAAGGACATAAATAATTGAATCATTAAGTATCACATGAAAGGGTTCACTAAGCACAATACAAATGTAATATATTGTTAACTATTGCAGCCGACTTTGCTTGCATGCTTCCGAAAAATGAGACTGTGAAAATTACACCTTTTATGCGAACCAAATATAAATCTACAATAACTTAAATAAAGAATGTTTAGTGACTAAAACCAAAATATTGAAAAATATTGTCATTCGAATATTTTTCGTGTTCCAAAATTGATATTTGTTAGCAGTATTGGTATGCCATTATATACTAACAAAATTATACATTAACAGTAGTAGGTAAGTATCCTAACCTCTACGCTTTATTTATGTTATTTTTGTTATTTGGCAGTTTGTATTCACACAAAATTTTAAAAATATAATTCAAAACAATTATAGTATAATATAATAAAAAAAATACAATTCAAGTTTATTTAACAGGGCAACACGCAAGTTTCTAGCTCGTTCTTCTTGTGATTAATCTACGTTGAGAATGAGTGGTAGAATAAAAAAAAATACGACTTATCAAAGGTACTATTTATTATTCAGTTTTTGGAATAAAGATTATTTACTTTCATTCCTTTATTACTTTGATTGTGACTGTATATGTATGTGATATGGTATACGAAAACGACTAACAATTTGATATGAGGTTATTAATTTGTTTCAAACTTTTAAGGCCTGATTTTGCAATAATTAATTTACTTATTAAAGTAAAAAAATGATAGTAGTTTTTTTTATTACGACGATAATAGGCACCGGTACCTAACATCCATAATATATAACAGTGTAATAAATATGTTTTCTGTCTTTGGGTCTAACATTATAAGGTAGTCTCCTACTGGGTATTAGGAGGGATTCTGATACTCATTAGCGCCTAAGAAACTTAAATAAAAACCGTCTAAAAACAAATTTGAAATTTTTCATTACGTCTGTATCGGTACGATTTATTTTTGCACAACATTCGCAAAAATAATATACTATGCGTTTCGAATTGTACTATGTAAAAAATACAACTACTTTATTGTATATAAAACAGTCTGCGTTTCGTTCATACAGAAAAATAGACATAAGGTACATTCTTATATTTGAATCACATAATTTGGACGTATTAAACGTAAACATTAATTGTCCTGGATCAAGCGACGAGTAACAAACTAGTACTCTCCATACAGTGTATGACAGACTTTATTAAACCGAAGTCAGTCCCAACTTAAGTAGTTTTCAAGGCAGCGAAGAGGGGAACGACCCCTTCGCGTACAGAAAATACAACCTTATAAAAAAATTAACTAGTACATTTCCTTAAGTTCTTAGAGGAGAATATTCTTGTACATGTATTCAAAATTCGTTAAATATTTATCACAAACATTAAAAATGTATTTAATTTTTGTTTTTCTATCGCGAAGTATGTATATGTAATCATATAACGAGATGATACAAACTAAAGCAAAAGACCTGTTATATAATTTTTAAAGCATCAGTAAATAATAACAATAAAGGTGTATAAAACCGTGCACCGAGCAGTTTTGGGACTCACCTCAGCTTAATCTTCAAATCCTATAGCGTACTTGACAAAAATAGCATTTGTTTAAAATAAATTATCATCAATATTTATAAATAATTATTTTAAATGTTGTCTTTGTAGCAAACTAGATCGTTAATTGTGTATTAACATTTTTATTAATGTACAATTGATATATTTTATTAAAAAAGTAGCAAAATATCATAATTTTTAGTCCACTACAAAACCACTGATATCCTTATCAGAATATTTTATGAAGGTATATAATTAGCTATACATTATGCAACAAAATAAATTGGTAGCTTTATGAATTTCTCATAAAATACATTTCATATAACAGACATGTCGCAGTCATATTAAGTCTATTTATTTGCTAGACTTAATTCAATTCAACAATTTGCTAAAATATATATAGAACGTAATTTCATTTAACGGAAAATAATATATCAATTATTCTTTCACTAACATATGACTTTTGTTAATTCTAAACGTGACCACAGCGACAAATTTTAATAGATATTTTTTTCAAATTTGTCGCTATAAACACGCGTGTTTTAGGAACAACCTGTTTCACTGGGAGTGGTAATCGGAAATCTAATTCTGAATGTGAAATTCAAATTTAGAATAGGTACAGTCAGTTTTAAGTAGATCATAGTATGAACCATAGTCAAATTCAAAACAAAGAACACAATTTCAATATTATGAATGTTGCTAAAAACACTTTATTGATTTCTTTGGGTGATCCCAAAGAAATCAATATTATGTTATTATTAGTAATAAAAGGTTCTGTTTGATTAAGAATGTATAATTTATCATTTGTTTTGAATTTAATACATCAAAATGCTGAAATAGAATCGAAACTATTTGTAACATATTGATGACTATCTCGTCTAACAATTGATGACCGACTGATTACTGTATATTGAATTCGTGAATTGCATTCTGAAAATTAATTCTGTTTTATTTATTAAGTGCCTAATACATTCAGACCCTCCAATTATAAATACTAAATAAGTCTATTCAGTTGCTAATTCTTTTGTAACAATTTTTATGTCGTTTTTATATTTTATTAATTACGGAGTAGTAATTCTTTTAAAAATAGAGTGGTATATTAGCAAAAATAGTATTTTCTTTATCTCATATTCTCATAAATCTTAAGTCACACACAATTCTAGCTTATCTATCACAATTAAAATGTTTTTTCAGTTCATTTATAAATAAATATATTATCATTCAGTTCTTTTGGGAAGGATTTATAAAACTGAAACTATGGAATTCAATGGATATATTCGTAGTGTTCGTCGGTCGGCATCGAGTAGTAAATTCCGGTGGAAGTAAAAGTAGTAAATTCGTATGGGCCCATAGTTATTCTGTGAAAAACAATATTATAAAAATTAATTAATTACCTGTTGCGCACGACAGTTTTATTACTTTGCTTTACTAAGTATACAAACAATAATAACAATACAAACTAAGTAATAGTAATATTTATGGTATTTGAAAAGAATACGAGCTGAGATTTTTCTCAGTTCTTCTCATCTAAAAATCATTCCGAACTGACGGTAGATCATAAGAGTCTGTAATAGATCTACATGAATAAAAATATTTTGATTTGATTTTGATTTTAACAATTAGACAATTCACACAACGCGATCTAATCCCAAGGTAAGCCGAGCTTGTGTTAGACGACTGATATAAATACTGGGATACTTTTTTTTTATAAACACATTCATAATTATCCTGACCGGTGTAATGTAATGTGGACTCTATTCTCCGCAATTGGCTAATTGGGCCAATTGCGGAGAATTGGGCCGTCATCCTGGCCGTTAAAAACACACTCACGTTTGTACCGATCAAGGAGGTACCGGAATAGCAGCGGAAGTGTGCAAATTGCAGTTTTAGTAGTATATTACGGGTACCACTTACCATCAGGCCCACCTGTCAACTAGTTTGCGACAGTACGACAGTATTACGACGTTTACATTAATTATTATTATGTTATTTGAGTCTCACCTATATCAACAATTTTTTTTTTATTAACGTGTTTGGGATACTATCAGGTGGATTTCGACCTGTAGCACTGCGACCTACTTGATCTATTGTGCTCGCCCTTTTTCAGAGTTCGCTAGACTAGATCCGTCAGCGACAAAAATTAATGGATATTCTTAGGAGTGATGGTTTTGTATCCTCAAGATAGAGTGTATACTTTCCAAAGGATATATTTTGTTTATGTATGAGTGGGCTACAACCACATAATATGTGTAGTGGCGTTTCCTCTTCTGCTTCGCAAAAGCTGCAGATTTTTGTTGAGCATAGGCCTAAGTTTCCCATGTATTTATTTAATGAGCTGTGTTTTTACTGCTACTTACCCGTCACTATAAGGTCCATACGCTATGGGCTATGAGCTCGGCTCGTTGGAGACTTGCATCACGCTCGCAGTCGTGTAGAACAGCACGCAGGGACTCTTCCACCAAGCACTGAACTGTAATACTTCATCCACGCTTACTGGTACAATACTGTAAAAATGTTATATAACATTTTAATACAAAAGTTTTTTAGCAGTCATTGGGACAATACGTTTTGATAGCTTAATCCTCTAGACTGGCAAGACATAAGAAGAACCACGGGTGTTAATATGAGTTGCCAGAACAAATTAAATGAAACCAAAATAATTATGAAAGAGAAGCGTTAATCGCTTGAATAGTTTTAACACATTGACCACACATCTAGCGGTATTTTTGAGCAAACAAAATCTGGTGAAGTGCTTTTTGATATTAACATAATGTACCCAAATCAATATAAGCCATCTCATTATTACAAACGTTATTTGTTTAAAAATTATGTCATAACATAAATCCACTCAAATTTACCAAACTAAGAACATAGATAAGTTTGACTTTCCATATGATGTTTAAGTTTTGCAACTTTCACATTGCTGTATAATATATTAGTTTAAGAATATTAGTGCAGAAGTTTAGATATCACAATATCAATCTATTGCGGGCAGTGGCCATATTATAAGCACTCGAGCACATGACACATAGTAGTCATAGTAGACTCTAGACTTGCGAAATTATTCCTTATCTATAATTACGTTTGTATATGAAATTTTTCCTTACAATAGTTAGTTAAACTATGAGATGATGTTAACTATTTGGTATTATCAATCAACCGCAGATGTCTATATTAAAATAGTATCAGAAATACCTCAAATCATTGAACATATGCCACTGCGATTCGACATCCCTCCCCGTGTGTATATACGCAACCAAGTTCTTGGGATTATCTTCAACGCAGATGACTGCTGCAAATAACGTATATTCCTCTTCGGATTGCGTCGTTACTTGCTTTTTTTTGTGTTTGTCTGGCCTGTGGTTGGGTGTGTGAGGTTCGGGCGGCGATTGATCAACCTAAGACGATTTTATAAAAAAATATTTTTGAATATGTTACAGATAATAAACGAATATTATTCATATAGTTACAGCTGACTGCTCACAGTTGACAGTACGTGGCCACGGCTAGTGCAACCTAGTCGAAACGTCGAGAGATGAAAATTAATGCAGTTAAACGGGGTTTAACACGAATAATTTTATGGCAAATATAAACTATATTACTATATGTGAGTATGGATCGATGAATAAATGTTTGTCACGAACTCTTGAGATTTATAATATTATAGTAAGATAATTACCCTGTCGTTAATGATGACGTCACCATCAGACTGCAGCCTAATCAGCAACTGTAGTGGTAAAACACAGTGGGACTCGTGTGGACTCTTAGACGAAGTCGCGGGCGTTGGTGACGGTCTGGAAAACATTATCAACAAATTAATTAGTCTTCTATAATTTACTTATAAAATAAAATTATTAAATTTATATTATATCGAATTAGGTGTTATTTTGGGAATTTTTATTATTTTGTTCCTTCCCGGAGATGGTCGTTATATGTTCGTTATGATTACTTTGTATGGCCCAAGTAAATATATATTTCTTTCTTTCTTTCTCTGTTTCTTCGGCCTAACAAAGCAACTTTTTTATGTAATTTGTAAGAACAATGACCTGATAGTAAGTAGCAACCGACGTCTATAAACCATTCATCCATTGCAATTCCGAAGGACTGATGTTATGCCCATATATCCTGTACTTCACTGTCTTACCTCCACCCATAAACCAAAACATAGTTTAGAAAGAAAGAAAGAACTGCTTGACGTAGAATAGATGTAGAAATAGGTGAAACTGTACCTCAGTTTCATCTATTTCTGCAGACGACTTCTTACAAAGTCAGCCTCAGAATAATTTATCGACTTGTACTTCGATAAGGGGCTGCATATAATGCCTACTTTTTTTTTAAATATACTAACCTATCAGTGTGGTGTTTGAATCTACAGCCAGGACGCGCACAATGAAAACCATAGCGACATGGTTTGCCGCTACCGCCTCGCTTCGACACTTCTGGCTGTCAATATACAAATTGTTATTTATGTTCAAATATAATAAATAATAAATATAATAAAATAAATTATTCTCTAAATGCATATGTTATAACCTCTACACACGATTTCGCCTTTCTGCCTTTGTCGATCTCTATCACAGACGTATGTCAAAAGGCAAATACGATAAATTTATTACGTAAAGTAAAGCCGTTAAAATATCGGAATCGAAACAAACAAACAAATAATTACCCTTTCTCATCTATAATACAATAGCATTGTGTTCAAAAAGACACTTACATTGGAAAATAGAAAGTTCGTTTTTTGTCGTAAATACATACATATTTCGACAAGTAATGGAAATATAATAGAACATTTATTACACTATTACTAGAAATGCGAAACTGTGGATGTACATATACACGATACATCGTATCATGGTAAGTGATTATTTATTATTTAAAACAAAACAAAATTAACTTAATTTAAACAACCAGACTAATTCACGAGCTACATCTATTATTGTATATTTACCAAGTCTTTTTGAGTTCCTTTTGACCAATATGCTTTTTCATGAGCTGTTACTCCCCCGCAATTTATAGCCAAAATCGGTGGTAACCTGAAACATAAAACAAAAACAATAACAACTGTGTAATAAGTAAAAATTCATGATATTTATGTTATATTACAAGTCTCCACATGTAACATCGAAGTTGTATGAACTAAGTAGATTGTCTAACGTTTATATTAGATTTTACTAGACCGAGATCGGAGCGAACTCTGATAGACCTTATAAATTTCGCCTAAATAATATTGAACCAACATCGACCTTACAACAAACATACCTCACGAGAAGGAAAGGGATTGTTAGTAATGACGACTAATGCCCTCATTGTACCATGTCAGGTCAGTACCTCGTGCACATCTTATCGTCCTCCACTGGTGACCCGGCAGCGTAAACCATTAGTGCAGGCGGGTGTACCATTCCATTATCATCCATAAATAAAAAACAAACATACCTCACGATGCGGCCGCGAAGCGTAGTGGGGGTGAACCGAGCGCATTGTTCGCACCAAGCGGGCGTACTGCGGCGTGCGGCTAGCGACGCTCGCACCAACTCCACGAAGCCGCCGCGCGCCTCGCCTGCCGCCGCGGCAGCGCCCGCGCCGCTGCTAGCGTCACGCGCCACCACGCTGGGGTACTGAAGCGCGCACGCTAGTACCACCGACTCGCGTTCTTCCTTCCAACCAAGGATACAAAGTAGCTTAAGTATCTATGTAAATGCCACACTTGGAGGTACAAAATAATAAAAAGAAAGAACAGTCACCGAGTATGGTACTACTTCTTAAGTCAGGTTGAGTTGCCTTTATTTGATTTTTATTAGTTTTTAAGTAGGCGGGGTACCAAGGGGCTTATGTCTAGCTTGCCGGGGTTTTTGCCTCCGGAGTTAATGTCGAGACAAAGGTGTTCGCCTCGAGGCCTTGTTGATGTACAGTGGCGAAAATCATATAGCCAGCAGAAGTAGATTTATTATCTAATTAAGGAAATGCTCTACAATTTATTTGTAGAGCACAGTATAATGATGACTGTATTAGTCTTAGTATTATAATGCTAACTTACCTCTTTATTACACTTGAGACACCTGTTGAGCTGGTGCCGCCCTATGGCGAATAGCTGTGATATTTCCGATTCGTCACGTTCTGACTGTTTGTTATTAGACAACTCGTGGTTCTCGTTATTCTGCACTTGTCCATCACTAACACCTAATAATTAGGACAGATTGTATTTTTATAACTTAACATATGAACTTTATGTATAACTGTCCTTTGCGAGAATGGTTTTAAATATTAATGTGTAATAGTGAACATAAGTTTCAAAAATAAAATATTAATTTAAAATGTTTGATATTTAGAGTACTGGAGAAGCGATTGGCAACAATAATATTTCGTGATAATTATGCAATGATATTATTATATATATTGTTAGGCATTTAGTTCTCTAGCCAGAACTATGTTCAGTTTACAGCACTCTGTCGTTCCATATTGGAATCTGTTTTGAATTTAATATCGCTCAACTTATTAAATCCAATGAGTTATAAAATATGTTTTTACAGTAACACACTATAACGATAGCTACGACATTTAGACAACCAAAAATATATGAAAATTGTATTTGGTAGAAATGCGGATACCTGTAAATACCATTGGCCCAAAAATGACTGCATGCAAAATTGAAATATTACATCACATATCATTTATAATACCAACTCTATACATATAATAAACAATTAAAACTAATTTCTTGGATAATAAGAGTAAAATACTCCACTATAAACTAATTATAATTTGCTTTGTGTATATGGCCTCGGTGGTATAGCCAGAGGTATATACCGCACACTGATTTATTTCCGGAGGTCGCGGGTTTAATTCCTTGCACGCCACAAACATTTGTATTTATGAGTATCATTGTTTGTATCGGTCTAGATCTTTCTTAAGTACATTATATATATATTTACGAAAACAAAACTATGTACTTGTATCGATTGTCCAGTACCCATAAAACAAGCTCTGCTTAGCTTGGAACTTTATGGCGCTGTGTGAAACTAAGATATCTTAAAACGCCGATTTTAATCTCGTCGGCATCTCGCGTCGATAGGAAAGTATTAACGGACTAGTGTATATATATATTTTTATATATCGGTGATCGGTGACGTTAGTTTGAGTGTACCGCTAGGAGTTCGAACCTCTGCTCAGTCCGCCGTAACATCGAACGCAGTTGGAAAAAAATATATCAATCACGGAAGAATTTAATTCGAAAATTTGCATTGAGTGGACAAGATTTGTAGGGTTAAGTAATGTAAGGATTGTACGTTATTAAATATATAGATATCAATACAAACCGTCGTTTCGCTCAATAGTTTGCCAGCCCTCCTCTCGTTCGGGGTTCTGTTCAAATTCCGCCGATGGGCCCAGGAACTCCAACTCTGTATAATGATACTCTTCGTACTGACCATTCTGCGGTCTCATTTTGGTCACGTTTGCGAGACGCGCTTTGGGCGGACTATTCGCATTTTGTACTAATAGCGCTTTCTCTTTCTTTCGAACCTCTAGCAACTCGTAGTGGATTTGGTGGAGAATAAATCGATTCCAACTCTGAAACAGTATTTATAGATGTATACACCTTTATGACAGTTATCCCAGAGGAGGTATATAGGAATTGTTAATTGGCGACGACGTTATCAACGTAACACTTGACATTTCGTTCATTGTATTTGAATCCAACGTTATACGCGAGATAATTGAAGATCAAACGAACTTACCAAGTGAAGTTCGATCGTAATTATGTGAGCAGCTTCATTCGAAGCGATTTCCGTTTAACATAATGTAGTAGCGCCATCTACTCTAGACCTTAGCACGATAATTTAAATACCTTCTTTTTTTTTTTTTTTTTTATTGCAAGCCAATCACTCCCCTCCTTGTAAGTGGGGCGAGGCTACGTTTTAAATGTAATCGTTCGAGTTAGTCATTTTGTTTAAAGTTATGAATCTGTTATTTGTTATTTTATAATCACAAGTATTATTGGGATGGGATTGATGCCAATATTAATTGGGTGGGTGATAATAAATCGCTTCGAATGAAGCTGCTCACATAATTACGATCGAACTTCACTTGGTAAGTTCGTTTGATCTTCAATTATGTTTCGCAGCTTCATTCTTTGCGATTTCCGTTTAACATAATGTAGGATGTTTAAAGTCGTGATTTTAAAATAAAAATTAACAATGACAAATAATACTTATCAGTATTTGTTTTTGCATAATATATCTCGGAATAGGTAATAATACGTCGGCAGACAATTTTTAGAATATTTTTATTAATATACAAATCAAAATCAGTTCTCCATTGTAGGTAATTTTGTATACAATAGTTATAATGTTGTATCATCTAGTAATGATTCTGCAAATATATTATTATTTGTAATTTCTTTATTGTAGAAGCGAGCAAACGCTGAAGATGAATCAGACCATCCTGCGGTCCTTTTAATTACTTCTATACTAACACCCAGTTTGTTAGCCTTCGATGTGGCTGCATGTCGTGTACTATGTGAACTAAATATTGATGTGTTAATGCCGCTTTCTTCTAATATATCTTTTATCCAATGGCTAATAGTCTGGGGGCCGATATTAGAATGAGGTTTTTTGAAACTCACAAAAAGCCTGTTGTCATTATTACTGCGTAGCAGTTTAGTTTTATTTAGGTATGATTGTAAACAACGAGCGGGACAAATTTCTGGACGGGTATTATAAAACGGAAGTCGTAATATGGGTAGAGATGTATTTAATTTTGTTGTCTTAATTGCGTCTGTAATCTTTATCAGAATTTCATTAGACATTGTATAAATATTATTTATGTGGATTAATGACAGAGTTTGTACACGATGTGCAGTCACAAGGGCGAGTAACGTTACTGTCTTCTTGGAAAGAGTTTTCAAATCAAGGTCATCGTTAGGCCATTTCTGTGCTAGAAATTGTAAGACAATTCCAGGGTCCCAAGTTATGTTATATTTTGGGTTCGATGGCCTTAGTTTAAAAACTCCCTTCATGAAGCGCTTAAGTCTATCATCATCCAGATTATTGCTTAATAACAGAGACAAGGCGGATTTGTATGTATTAATCGTTCCATATTTGGCACCTTTATCGAATGCATCCGTTAAAAACTCTATTATTGGAGGTATAGATATAGAAGTATAATCATAATTATGACAACTGCAATAATTGAGCCAAGCTCTTATACCGCCGTCATATTGCCTATATGTATTATTTGATAATGATGCAAGCATTATATCTACTGATCTCGGTGTTAGTGACTTCTTTAATAGAGTCTGCCGGATAATTTCGCGGCAACCAACGTTAGAGAGCGGTGTAAGCTGTGCACGGATCTGTAAGGAGATTTAAGCAAGTTAATACGTGGTGAAAAATATATAAGGTCTGACTGACATATTCTTTTGAACAAGGGGAACCATGGTTGGGTTGGCCAGTATGGTACGACAACTATACCCTCCGCCCTGTCTAGTATTATTTTTTGAATCATTTTCAATATCATTGAAAATGGTGGAAAGGCGTAAAAATTTAATTCTTCCCATGAAATTGTGAAAGCATCAATGGCCCATGCTCCTGGTTCATTTTTCCATGTAACATATGTATCACATTTAGAATTGCAGCGACTGGCAAATAAATCAATATTTGCCACACCTAACTGTTGTTTAATTTCATTATACGCGTAATCACTTAATTCCCACTCAGTATCGCAAAATTTCTTCCTAGACAGTCTATCAGCGTTAAGATTTTCTTTCGTGTTTATGTATGATGCAAACACTATAATACGACGTCTTTCACACCATTTCCAAATATCTCGAGAAACCTCATTTAGGTGTGGATATTGGACACTCCCCATTCGATTTATACAAGAAATTGCTGTTACGTTATCTATTCTTAGTAACAATTCACATTCATGATAATTACTGGCAAAGACTTTTAATCCAAAGAACGCAGCTTTAAGTTCTAGTTCATTGATATGCAAATCTATTTCATCTTCTTTCCAATAACCATACGACTCTTCACCATCACAGTATGCACCCCAACCTGTGGATGAGGCGTCGGTATAAATTTCTTTACGGTACTGATTTCTTTTTATAGGGGAATATCCATTATCCACATTTTTCAGCCACCATAGGAAATCTCCTTTAATAAAATGTGGTAAAGTTACAATTTGATTATAATTGTAATTTTTTAATAAAGCTTGATATTTGAATTGTTCAAATAATTTTGTATGTAACCATGAATACTGTAATGCCGGACAAGCAGATACTAAAAGACCAACCATTCTAGCAAAATCTCTTAATTTACATTTGTTTTTATGTAAAAAATTATGGATATAATTTTTTACTTTTTCTTTTTTATCTGTAGGTAATTGCATAATCATCTTATCAGAATCAAAACAGAAACCGAGAAATCTACAGTTCGTACTAGGATTCAAACAGCTCTTATCACGATTTATAATGAACCCTAACTTTTTGAGTAATAAGCATGTGTTTTCTATATTATACTTGCAATCGATATAATCTATTCCAATACAGAGAATGTCATCTAAGTATATTACAGATATACAATTTTTGGATCGCATAAATTCCATAACCGGTTTTAATAACTTTGTGAAAACATACGGAGCTGTGCATAAACCAAATGGTAAACAATTAAACTCGTAAAGAAAACTATTACGATTTAATTATAATGGTACATTATAATTAAATCGTAATAGTTTTCTATGTATTTTATCGATGTTAACAAAAAAATAGGCGTCCTTTAGATCAATAGAACCCATATGACAATTTTTAGTTATTAATTTTATTGTCGTTCTGTAATCTTCCATTTAAAATGATCGGTGCTTATAAATTTATTAAATTGTTTTAGGTTTAGAATAAAGCGTTTTTTGCCATTTGGTTTAGTCACAAGAAATATATTGGATATGAATTCTCCATCTTCATGGAAGCATTTTGATATCGCATTGATATCGATTAGTTCCTGAATTGCTTTAATAAATTCGTTGTGCTCTTGTGAAGATTTAGGGGTGGTACATGGTATTACAGTTTGAACTGGTTGTGCGACTAATGGTATTTTATAACCTTTTATCCATGATAATAAAACATGATCATTAGTTATCTGAATCCATTGATTGTAAAAATATTGTAATCGACCAGCGTATTGACTTACCTGTGAATCTATCTCCGATGATTCTTCCTGGTCGGTGAGAATGCTCGTCGCGGCGGCGGTGGTGCTGGCGGGCGTAACGATACATTGCTGCGAGGCTGACGTGTCGAGGCACGACCTCTTGATGTTTCGTTGTTTCTGAATGGTGGTTTCCTTTGTATTTGGCCCCTGTAGTTTAAATTCCGGGTTTTTGACATATTTTTGTAAATTGACACCCTGCTAGTTGATGCTACAGGATTAATTTGGGATAATGATTCTCCTGTTTTCTGTACAGATTTTGCTGCTTTGAGCTTCTCTGCTAAATCTTCACCAAACAAGAATTTATCTCGTTTAGTAGTATCGAACGTATCGCGTAGACTACAATTAATAGAACTCATAATAATGTTTCGTCTAGTTTTTGTTTCCACGTTATGACTATCGCACAATAAACGACACGCATCACTAAGAGGTTGTAGCAATTTTTGCTTGGAGTTTTCATTCTGCAGAATCATCTCGGTGAGCTCAGCCAATGCAGACAATACAATCCCAATCTGACTTTGTTTTTGTAATAGCGTAGCATCTCTCTTGACTAATATATCCGGCATTGCAACCTTAGCTTCTGGATTTAATATTGGAGCCATTAAATTACTACAGTTAGCTGGAATAAAGTATCTTTTAAGAATAATATCTTTAGCTTCTTTTGGTAAACCCTTTATTAATATATCTTCCCAACGGGAAGCGATATTTGAGTGAATATTTTTACCAAACTTTATGTCTGGCTGAGGTGCCTCACCTAATATTTGCAAAATATCATCTTCTAGTTGCATCTCTTCTGGTGTATTTACGTAAACATTTATTTCTTCTTTGTCTGGGACAGGCGAAGGATTTAAACCAGTGACAACTGGGTCCACATTTGGCGACTGTGGTAAAGGAGACATCAGATCGGGCATGTCTAATGCTATCTCTTGTTGAGATGGCGACATTCCGATTGAATTCGGTATACTTGGAACTGTAGTTAATTGTTCTGACGAAACTCGTCTTATATCAGTATTCACTGTATCGTCGGCGTTGTCAGAATCTGCACAACAAATAATAACATTATAATTATAAATCAACACCTTCAAGTACCGTCAACGACAGTTCATATTAACTGCCAACGGCAATAGTGGATCGCCAATAGCGATAGGAAATTGACTAAAATTTACTTACCATTATCATCTGATGAAAGTATACGTCTTCGTCGATGTAATTTCTGTTCCAATTTCCTCATCTTTTTCATAATTCTTGCCTCTTCTTTTTCTCGTTTTCTCTTGTTTCCCATATTTAAAATATTGTATTTTAAAAAATAACGAACTTTGAATTAAGAAACACTAGGGTTGCGGTATGCGTGCGAAGGCTTTGAGCACGAAAACGCGAATGGCTAACTCGAACGATTACATTTAAAACGTAGCCTCGCCCCACTTACAAGGAGGGGAGTGATTGGATTGCAATAAAAAAAAAAAAAAGGTATTTAAATTATCGTGCTAAGGTCTAGAGTAGATGGCGCTACTACATTATGTTAAACGGAAATCGCAAAGAATGAAGCTGCGAAACATAATATACGTATTTCCTATTAGTTTCGTTTGTTATAGGTGTTTTCAGAAATATTTTAGCGATTATCCATTACTTACGAGACATTAAAATGATATAATTAGATGAGATAATTGAATAATAAGTTTATTTTGTTTATTACCTGTATCAACGCCACTAGATCCACTCTGAGATCTGATCCGCGATCAGGTAGAATGAGGCCAAGAGCAGCCGCTTCAGGTATAGTACGAAACGCACGGAGAAAGTTGGTGGCCTGGCATGGGACCCCGCCTGACGTATCCAACATCCTAAACAGGAAACCTGTGAAGCACAATACACTAACAAAAGAAATAATAATTTAATATTTTTTTAAATTAAAAAAAAACCTCAAATCTGCCACAATTCGGTAAGTACCAATGTGAAAATAAACCTTTCTATTAAAAAAATAACATATTTACTATGAATTTATTTTGTATTGACACTATACTACATATAATAAAGAGATAACGCTAAATCGTACGAAACCTACACACAAAATACCGATCTCTTCCAAATAACCTTTGGTTATAGATAAAGGTAGACGAAGCATGTTCGAATATTTTATTTTTGCTTGTACACTATTTAATTTATTTTATAGATCTAATCTATAAGTAACTCTAAGCTTCCTAAAACCTAAGTGCTTGAAAGCCATTACGCGCCTTCCTTCGACAGTTATATACAATAGAAAAAAACAGACAAATGACTGAATATATTAGATGTATAATCATTAACTTATTCTAGACAATAGTTCATGTTCACTTACCTAACTGACAGCTTAAACAAAACTCTTTCCCGCATGAATGTGCCAGCAACGCAGCTTTCACAGGCGGCATGTAATATAGTACCTAAAATATCAAATAAGTTAAATAAAACATTTTTATATAGCAGGAGATTAGCAGAAATAGCCCAAGATTATTCTCGTGTACCACTCAATCAATCATTATATTTTTTATGGAAATTCGTTCAGGCGTTTATTCGTAAAAAGGTAACATACAGACAGCCGACAAACTTTCGCATTCAAATAATACTAATATGGACAAAATTACATCACCAAATTTACTTCTACATCAAGCAAATTGGAGTCGTGTCGTACCGACATTTAGAGAGCACGATGGAAGATCGTGGAAAGTGGCAAGAGCTCCACCGACAAGAGTGTGGCTCTTCAATAATGAATTAATGAATTGATAAAATTACTCATGTGTAACGTCTTTAGCTTTCCAGAATCGATGTGATTTCGTGAAAAGGGACGAAAATGTACAACAGGAAGCCGTGCTATTTGATATAACAAATGACCTGTGTCTAACTATTTCTGCCGCCAAACAGGTTTGTAAGCTGTTTATGTTGCAGGTTGAAATTAGGCTGTGAAATTACAGGATAAGAGGCATGACACCTTAGTCCTCTAGAATGGCAAGAGATATCAATGCAAACCTCGTACAGTCTCTTTCTAGTAAAACTGTATTTGTATTTACCTGGAGCATGGAATTACAATAAGAATTGGGTATTGTAGCTTCCAAGCTTGGGAATCCAGTTTTGTTACAAATCTCCAAATCGTCATTCGCCCCGTGTTTATTGTGGCGTAAATCCATCTAAAAGCATGTTTTATATTTAAATAAAAATGTAAAAGTAAAATTAAGTTTTCAGGTATCATCACCCTTGTGAGTGGCAAAGTGTCAAAACAGTTGTAAGAAAGAATAAAAATAGTTCAGAATCATTATAGTAGTCACAAATATCAAATCAACTCCAAATGAAAATGAACCCTAAGAAGAAATGAAATACAGTACAATTCAGCTTACGTAACGTCTGTCATATTCGATAAGAATATGGCAACATTATTTACTGAATATATTAAGTTATTAGAATATATTATTTACCTTCTGATAGTGTTTGGGGACCGGTTGATTAGTCATCTTGTTTTCATTAAGCTTTGCCGTGTTCAAATCCTCAAGATTATCCTCAATATATGGAACCTACAAACAAATAATTCTATTAAATGTATATATTTTAAAAATCTATAGCCTTCAAATCTTGTCAGCTTTAAATTGTTACTACCTGATTTCTTTTCAATGTTTTAGGGTTTGGGGCATACCCGATAGGGCCTTGCATTTTCATTGTTTTCAATACTTCAGGATCTATCGGCTTTGGTTTCCTAAAAGAAAAAACCATTTGTGGAAATGAAAGCTATGTATAATATAATATATAAAATTCTCGTGTCACAGGTTACGTCTTTATACTCCTTCGAAACGGCTTGATCGATTTTGATGAAATTTTATATGTATTCAGTAGATCTGAGAATAGGTTTCTAACTAATTTTTATACCCCTAAGTGTTAAGAGTGGCTCACCCCAAAATTTTTAATTTATTTTATAGACAATTTTTTTTATTATGAATTAGCATTAAAAATATATACAACCCTAAATTTTCTTCCTTCTATCACCAAACTAAGATTTGTTAATACCGATTTTAATTTATAAGGCAAAACAATGTTTGCCGGGTCAGCTATAGAAGAGTATTATTTTTTGTATAATGACACTTTTTTAAAATCACATTTACCCTAAACAAAATAATATTCTGGCATGTGTAGCGATATACTATGGATATAAGTGTTAGTGTGGCAAGTTTATAAATATAATATTACCTATAAACTTTCTTAAAGAATTCCGCGGGCAGTGCATTGAACCATTTGTTGCCAGAAGCCAATGAGGGCAAAGGTACTGATGAAAATTGGAATGTGGTATCACTGAAGCCGGCATATGGCAAACTTGGAACTTGGTCTGCAAATTCTGTTGCTCTGCAATTAAAACAAATATATTAATAAGGACTTTGATATGTGACGTAGTGTTGCTGTTGATATGGATTCGTATTTTTTTATTTGTACAACGTCGCGCTCAGATTTCGTAGGTAGGTAGAATTTACATTATATTATAACCTTCAGAAATTACAAATGAAGAAATTAAAAGATGAACTTTCTTTTATACCATTATATATATATATATATAGAAAGTCATTTGGTATAATACGGTCTATAGTGTCTATAGATTCATCTAACACTATCGGTAGTCTAGCGTTTTAATATAACACCTTACCTCCGAAGGTCGCGGGCTCTATTCTTCGCATGGTACAAATATTTGTATTCATAAGTATGATTGTCATATATCGACTATTTTCTATGTATATTATGTATGTATTTACAAAAGAAAAGTGTCTTTCTGTAGTAGCCCTAACACAATCTTAGATTTATTATTAGATTGGGACTAGCTGACGTTGTATGAATTTTTCTGAGATATTATTATTATTACCTGGAAAAATTATTAAAGACAGGCTCCTGATTGTGCTGTGGCGAGAACAAATGCAAATGTCCTGTTTGATCTCCAAATACTAAAGCTTGACTGGTCGATGCCACGTCCATGACACTGCATAGGGAACTGTGAGTATCCACCTGTAATAAAGCAAGATTTTGTAGTGTTTGCGTTAAGGACTCCACACTTAAGGTATGCTTAATTAAGAACATTTTAACCAAAGTAGACTTTATAATAATAATAATATAACTCTATATTGTGCAGAGAAAAATATTTGCTAAACAAAAGGACTCATCACTTAAAGCAATCTCTCTCGCTACTAACATCCTGGGAGATCGAAGCTTGCGTAAAGAAAAGGTAGGGGGCGAACTCTAAAATTAGATATTATATCAATACAAAATAAAATCGTCTTCGTGAATACATCTATCTGGACTATTGCAGCAGCCAAGCTACCAAGTAAGATGTGTTTTGTTTAATGAGTAGGATAAAGCAGTGACATCTTATTCTTCCGGAAGTGAAACGTATTAATGGTACTACCGGCGATATATGATACCATGATGTCTTGGTGTAGTTCATGTATATAGGCCTCAGTTACCATTCACTATGAGGTAGACCGTCACCTTGTTAACTATTCCAATTACAGATATAAATAAACATATGCATTAAGTATTGTGGTTATAATGATACTTATTTATAGAACTTACCTGAAACACAGATTGCGATTCTTCTGGTGCATTTACATGTAACAATGCTACATGGCCGTCGCCAGACAGCGCGACCGCTCTACCGGAGAAGGCTGGCAGGAAATGTAACAAGAGCGGTGGCGATGCCGTTTGCACAGACCAAGCGGATTCCGTGTTTATATTAGTGCCGCGGAGACAACGTACATCCCAGACTATTATGTAGGATTCTGCTACCGCTACTCCGCCCACTCTGAAATGCAAGCACCACAAAAGATATAAATTATAGCAAAAGGCATTCAGAGAATAGTTCAATTGAGCGAATTAAATTTTATATTTCCCAACAAGTTATATAATGTAAATTGATGTAGGTGTCTAGCACATTTAACAGAATTTAATACAACAAAAATATGTCACAGTTGAGTTGCTGAAAAATAATTTATAATTTCCAATGTTTTTATTTGCATTAGACTTACTCCCATTACTGTTAGGAACCAATTCTAATGACCGAAATATCTGTACAAGGCGTGAAATTTTTAATACTTACGACTGTGTAAAACCGCACGTTATAAGCAAGTCGCCTTGCATGTCCAAGTCGGATAGGCAAGCATTGTGAGCTCTGAAAGTGTGTTCGGCAGTTCCAGGGGTCCGGAGGTCCCGTAAAGCAACCATACCATTGGCACTGCCACAAGCAACTGAGGAGCCTCCTCCGCTGCGAAGGACGGCGCAGCTTTCTTCTTGTATGGGCTGTGGATATTCATTTTTCATTTGATCCAAATATTATGCACATATATATAGAAGTGAAATTTGGAAAGTTCCAGCAAATATGTAAATAGGCGAAGTTTATTAAGAAAAAATTAAAGCAAGAATTAAGTTTAGAACTTTTTGAGCCAAGCATTTAATAAAAAAAACTCCTCATCACAATGACTGTGTTTTCTTTTAACTTATCTCCACAAATAGTCAAATGTGGGAATGAGCTTTAATCTTACAAGTTATACATTTTACCCATATTGGTACTCATTGAGTCATAAAAACTTCAGTTTATTAAATTTAAGAATCTATATAGGAGATCATACTATATATTCCATGCTTTTTACTCTCATGATTTTCGCTTGATGGACGGATCCTCAACAATATGCATTAAAAAAATCTTACCTTTCAATGCAAAAACAATTCACTACCACTACTATATTTTTGTGTCAGTTTAATCAACTTACAATAACACTCTCCGACATTTTATTTAGATCTATATCAATCAATTTGTTTTGATGTCCACCCATTAAGAGTTTTGTGGAATTGACTTGAAACAGGCACTGCATATCTGTCATATTATTGGACCTGGAAACAATATTATATTTTGACAATTGTAAAGGTCTGCATAATAAATAATGAGTTCTATTCAAATATTACTAAATTAAAATTATCACATCTATATAAAGTGAAGACAATATCTGAAAGAAATTAAGAGTTCTCAGTAATTTTGATGGCCTTGCTGGTCAGATTATCCCACCATCTTACTTGCTATGATTGCGAGTTCTATTATTACAGGTTACTATTATTTGTATTCATATGATGATTTTTTTTTTCTCCGAGTACATTTGCGATCAGTCCCAGGGCTCTATAAGCGAATATGTTCTGTGATGCTGTCATGTAGAGCGGCTTCCCATTGGAAACCTTACTCATCTGCATCCCAAAGTTACTGCCGATCTTCTAGCTCCAGGATATGATGGCGTTTTAGTCGTCTCATATGCTGTTCTATGGTGAGTTGTCGAGCAAGTTTGTTGGGGTGATGAATCAACCGTTCTTTACATTTGGCTGCCAAATTCCGAATATTCATATGATAATGAATCATATTTCATGACATGATTGTTCATATTTGTTTGAAATTAGTAAACAATTGTATAGAGCATTTTATGGGCGTAAGAATGTCAGAGTTGTATAATTTGAGTTAAAGCCCTCGTTATGGAGAGCTTTTTATTCCGTAAAATACATAAATCTGAAAGGTCAATTTTATGTAGACCAAATTGAGTATCTCTTAACTGCAAAGAACATACTATTTATCCTATTGATACAAATGACATATTTATAAAATAGTGAGCGGGTGGGCACCCATGAGTGGCCCAGATCAGTTGGCCTGTTCCTACAGTGGGGGACATTGTTTGTAGTGATTGTCAGAATTTTTAAAAAAGGAATACATAATATTTTCTTTAGCTGCACATATATATTTACATATATCAAATATAAAATTATATTCATGGTAATATTACCTAAATGTATGCTTTGGAATTCCTCGCCGTATCTGATTACGTAGTGTAGTTTTTGTCAAGGCAAAGATCCCTTGCTCCACAGTTATAATATCTCTCACCTCCTCTGACTCGTGTATTTGGAATGATGTATATTTCTGCATACTTGGGCCATAATATGATGTTACATGACCCTAAAAAAGAAATGTTATAATTAATGTAAGTGTATAGTATGGTGACAAAAGTAATATAACTATATGCATATATTATACATACAAACACTAAAAATAAGAATGACAACAGCTTTAAAAATTATTGCATCTTTATTAAGTAAACAAAGAAATAGACTAGATAAAAACACTGTGTTTTATACTATTCAATCATTTTTTAGAACTGACAATGGAATGTGTTAATGGTATACTTCATTGAATTTTGTACAAAAGGTAGCCTTAATGCTAATAGTATCCTCTACCAGCCAAACTTAGGGAGTGCAGTGATACTTAAATGTGGTTTGATTATAGGTGAAACATCTGTGGTTTCCCTAGCACAGATATTTCGGCATATAAATTCCCCTGTATTACAAATATTATTTCCTTCCACAATGGTTGTTATTAAAAACAATAAAAGCAAACTTACACCCTGATTGCCCATCCATATCAGCTCCTCAAATTTGTCAAAAACTACTGCAGATACACCAAATCTGTCTCCACCATCCACAAGCACACTACTACGAACTTCATACTCTGCTGGTTGTGTCGGCAACAGGTATTGAGGGGAAAACTCTGCAGCATAAGGGTCTAGAAATAATTGCAATTATAATAGAATATATAGGTACATAGACATTCTTCTGGTATTTTCAATGAAATATGAAAGAATTCATGGACATTTAACTAATTGAACGTAGTTTTCAGGCTGTAAAGCACAGACATCAGATATAAATGAATAATAATCATGCTATCACATTTTGTTCATTAACATAAAAACTAAAGTGCTCATTATATGAAATAACAGAAAGTTATGTGAATGTTAAGTATAGAACTAATGAAGAAGAAATCAAGTCCCTTGTAAATAATTTGATATAAACCCCAACAGTGTTTCATAAATCTATATTTTTACCTTATTTATTATTATATACGTTATAAACAATTAATATTAATGTAGGTACTATTGCTTGATTATGTATGATCCAAATGTAATATAAACATAGTTTTAAATCATATATTCTAAACATTACACTACTATATTCATTGTAACTCTTGCATAGATAATAGCTGAACCTTTTAAATTATGATTAAGAAGAGATGATGTATGTTTAAGGAAGCTAAGTGTTAAGTATCCATGTTTTGTTTATCATATGGCCAAACTTTACATTTTTGGAAGGTCAAATAACTTGTTTGGTAAAGATCCTGTAAATTATTGTTTTGTATAGGTGAGTATATAAAATTTAATATTTAAAATACCATTATTGCAAATTAATTTTAATTATTTATGCTAGGAACAACAAAATCTGAAACCTGAGTTGGAAAACTGATATATCTGATATATATATATAGCGAAAGCAATTTGAATAGAACTGTAACAGATATAATAAGAAATCCGGTAAAATTGTTTACTTATTAGTGCGAAGATTAATGAGTAATAATAATAAAGTTGTACCAGGTAAAAGATGCTCAGCTGGCACACACAAATCAGGATAATGATACTCCATAATTTAAAGTGTTTAACACAATGTCTTCTGCAACATTTGCATTAACTGTTTGTATTTTAAGTCACGAAAACAGGATAGAATAAGTAAATAACGGGATTTAATAAAAAAAATAAAATGATTCCAGAAAGACGAAATTGAAATTGTTGCGACCAGTGTTGCCAGGTAATTTTTAAAATACGCTTACTTCAATTTAATTAGAAATAATAATTAGGAGAAAAATTAGTATTATGAGCAGTTTATATATTTTTCATAAATGACAATGCAGTGTCCCAGATGGCGATTTAAAGTAGATGGTGACTTTTTGCCATTGAGATATGAAGAAAATCATTTAAAAATTCCATAGATTTTGTTGTAATCGTACAACGTATATATTAAAGTTGAGAACAAAAAGCAATATTAATTATTGAATACGTATATTAAGCAGAATAAAAAGATATTACAATCAACAAGATGCTAAGCAACGACATCGTCATCGATACAGAGACAATTAGGTCGTATATCTACAACTCATACTCCTAACATCCCGTCTACTTTTTATAGCTGCTGCTACTCATTCCAATGCGTGAAGACAGTTCTTCTAATCTTGGTCTGTAGAGTGGCTTCGTAAACATGTCGGCTAGTTGATATTCCGATGAGACATGCTTCACTAATAGATGCCCGTCCATTACACATTCCCTGACATAAAAATGCTTGCGCTTGATATGCTTTGTCCTTTTATGATATTCATATGCAGGGTTGTGAGCTAATTTTATTGCAGATTCATTGTACAACATAGAGAATTGGTTGCTCGTCTAGTTCCGTTAATTCAGATAGTAACTCTTTTAGCCAAATAATTTCCTGAGTTGCTTCACTAGCAGCCATAAGTTCAGCCTCTGTCGAAAACAAGGCTACTATTCCTTGTTTTTGACTTTTCCAACTTATAGCCCCTGAGTAAAGGCATATTATTCCTGTGGTAGAGTGACAAGTTTCTTGATCACCAGAGAAATCTGCATCACTGTAACAATTTAAATTTCCTGTGATATCAGTCTTAAATGTTAGCCCCTTGTCTACTGATCCTTTCAGGTAGCGAAGTATTCTTTTTACTCCAATAACATCCTGTTTCGTTGGTTTTTTTTTAATTTCTGGAGGCAACACTCACTGCGTAACTCTTGTCCCTACCATTAAATATGACAGTGCTCCAACTGCCTGGCGATAAGGAAATTTGCTTTCATCTAGAGATGTATCTTCACTGTTTTCTTTTATTATTGGTGTTAAAGCTGGTTTGGAGTCAGACATGCGATATTTTTCTAGCAATTTCTTTGTATAGGCTTTCTGACTTAATGTTATATATCCATCATTAGATCTTTCTAGTTCGAGTCCTAGAAAGTAACTTGCAGGCTTTGTCGTGATCTTAAAGCGTTTTTGTAACTCTTCAAGAAATTTCTTTCCTTCTTCCTCTGATGTTGACGCTACCAATCCATCATCAACATATAACCCAATAATCACTTTAGATAAACAATTCTTTCTAATGTATAAACAAGGATCAGACTGACTCTGTATGAAATTAGACTTTATTAAAAACTCATGTATACAAGTATTCCAGCAACGTGGAGCCTGTTTAAGTCCATATAGACTTCTTTTCAAACAGCAGACCCTGTTTGTACCATCGTTGTAACCTTCAGGTTGTTTGATAAATATTTTTTCTTCAACTGACCCATTGAGGAATGCTGTGGATACGTCAAATTGACAAAGAGATAAATTTTCTTTTGCAGCTACTCCTAGCATTGCTCTGATTGTACTCAAGCGGACAACTGGGCTGAATGTTTTATCATAATCCACACCAGGTTTTTGTGAATATCCTTTTACAACTAACCTAGCTTTATATCGATCAATACTTCCATCAGGGTTGGTTTTTATTTTATAAATCCATTTACTAGAAAGAACTTTCCTACCTTTAGGTAGCTCCACGAGATCCCAAGTTTGATTCTCTTCTAGAGAAGTCATTTCACTCAGCATCGCTTCAAGCCATTTCTTTTTATCTTTACTTTTCATTGCTTCATTGTACGTTTCAGGTTCTTTTTGTGAGTTCATTACCTCTTCTGAAGCAGTCATCACAAAATCATCAAATCTTGTAGGCGCTCGTAAATAATTACGATTTCGAAGTGAACTTTTAACTTCTGTTTGAACTTCTTCATGTGTCTCTACATCATTTGTTTTAGCTTGGCTTTCCGAAGGTCTTGTTTCTTCTACCAGTTCGATATTTCTTTCATCATCTATCTCAAAATCATTGGTAACTGATTCATATTCGCTTTCAATTTCATTTGGGTCAATGTTCTCTTCACTGATTATAGTTTGTTTTTTATCTCTCTCCTCTAATTTCTCAATATTATTAAAGATCAGATCTACATAATCAGTTGGACTTGATTTATTTGAATTAAAGTTTTCTTTATAGAAAAATTTATCAACAAATTTCACATCTTTTGAAATCATAGTTTTACCTTTTGTAGGTACCCAAATTTTAAAAGCTTTTGATCGTTCAGAATATCCAGCAAACATGCCTGGAATTGCTTTTGTCTCAAATTTGTTTCTGTTCTGTTTATTTTTGAGAAGCATGTACGCTTTTATTCCGAATACATTAAAATGATTTAAAGAAGGTTTTCTTCCGACCCATTTTTCAAACGGTGTCAAGTTGTCAATACTTTTATTTATGCTTCTATTCGAAATGTAGTTAGCTGTACATATAGCTTCACCCCATAGATAAATTGGTGCTCCAGATTCTATCATTAAACATCTAGCTTTTTCTAAAAGAGTTCTATTCTTTCTTTCAGCTATTCCATTTTGGTGAGGAGTGTATGGAGCTGTTAATCTTCTTGTTATTCCATTTTTCTTTAAAAACATTTCAAATTCATTATTACAGTACTCTAAGCCATTATCTGACTGAAGACATTTTATTTTATTGCTAGTATAATTTTCCATCTCAGATTTATATTCCATAAATTTATCTAATACTTCACTTTTCGTTTTGATACAATATACACGACTATACCGAGTAAGATCATCGATGAAAGTAACAAAGTATTTGTTACCTGCATAAGTTTCAGACTTCATCGGTCCACAAACATCAGTATGTATGATTTCTAATCGTTGTATAGTACGAGGAACAGTATTAGCTTTAGATGGTAGTCTTTTTATTTTGGCTTGAATACAAATTTCACAATCTCCAAGTTTCTCGTTTAAATTAAATTCTAAACCTTTTAGGCTTTTATTTCTTAAAGCAAACTTCATGTCATTTTCATTCATATGACCAAGTTTCCTGTGCCAGTGATGAATTTTGCTTTGATCTGTGTAACAACATGTTTGAGAGTTATTTAGTTTGGCATCAACATAGTATAAACCATCGGCTTTTCTAATCTTTTAAAATCACACCTTCATTTTTGTGAGTAACTACTGCCTTATTTTTGGTAAAGAGTACAGTACACCCATTTTCAGTAATCTTGCCAACAGATAGGAGATTCAATGACAAATCTGGTACATATAATGTGTCACACAGTTTAATTTCTCCTTTCTTTCCGGGTTCATTTAACTGTAAACATACTATACCTTGTCCTTTTATTTCAGCAGCACTATCGTTAGATGTTAATTTTAATGTTTTGCAAGTGTCTTCTAAATTTTGAAAAATATTTCTTTCATAAGACATATGTGAGGTGCATCCGCTATCTATGATCCATTCTTTATTGTTTTCTTCCTTAGATACATATAGACAAATAGCAATATTATTTTTATTTACATCTTTGCTATCATGACTTGATTTTATATTCGTCTTATTTTTGTAGTATGTTGACTTCTTTCTACAGTTTTTAGTATTATGTCCTTTTTTCTTACAAATCTTGCAGAAAGCATAATAAACTTCTTCATTACTTGTGCTTGCATCTGCAGAGGATAAATGTTTTCTAGCTTCCGATTCTTCAATAATTTTTATCTTAAGATCCTCTGGTTTAGGTAACGTGTCCCTCGACTCTATCGCTACTCTAAAATTTTCATAGTCTGGTGGTAAGGTGTATAGCATCATAACTGAAAGTAGATCGTCATGAATATTTATGTCCATTTGATTCAACTTTTCAACTATATCCATAAACTTGTTTAAATGTTCACGTATATCATCGCCAATTTGTAATCTACTCAAAATTAGTTGTTTTAATAGACTAGCTTTTCTTGCCGGATCTTTGCTCGAATATACATCACTGAGCCTTTGCCACATTTCATGTGCAGTTTCACATTTTTTTTATTAGTTTTATTTCTGCTGCAGACATCAATAAAATGAGTTCTGATTGCGCTAGCAAGTCTTTTTCTTTAATTTTAGAATCCTCATATTCTATGTCTGAAGTTATTACGTATCTCCATAGCTTTTGTTTAACAAGGACTGCTTTGGCTTGTAAGGCCCAAGTGTCATAGTTATCTTTATTTAATTGTTCTATTTTTCCATAGGAGGCCATTTTACATCGTTATTATTCGCTCTGCTACCATATTAAAGTTGAGAACAAAAAGCAATATTAATTATTGAATACGTATATTAAGCAGAATAAAAAGATATTACAATCAACAAGATGCTAAGCAACGACATCGTCATCGATACAGAGACAATTAGGTCGTATATCTACAACTCATACTCCTAACAGTATAAGTAAGCACTTTTTAAACTTCACAATATTACATGTTTACATTCGTTAAAATCATAACAACTCCCTTAAAATGGGGAGCATAGGTAACACTTCAGTGTCCTTTCTAAAATCATGTATAACATGACAATTATTATCACTCGGCCTTTCTGTAAATTAAATGTTGAAGTATTGAATGACAGCTTTATATCTGACTCAGTATTGAACTAAAAGGTTTTAGATTACAATTTATTCTTCACATTTTTGAAAATTATGGATACACCAGATCCTTATAATATCATGTTTTTTAACATTTTCTTTTCTATATTACTTTAGAGAGCTAAAAAATATAAGAGTTAGTGTTGCCATTTTTACACATATGTATATTTTTTAACAGTAACAATGCAACAAACAGCATAAATTGGAGATCCAGGTAGCACAGACAATAGGATTTTTTAAACACAAGATTTTGTAAACAATAGCTTTATATGAATAATCAAGCAAGCGAATCCCATGCCACAAAAGCATGTTCCTATGCAATGTCGTGCTTAACGCACAATTATATCAATTATATAGAGTTCTTGAAAAACGACCATCATTTACTTTTAACGGCATTGATAGCTTAGTGGTTTAGTACACCGCTTTAGTTCCGTCGGCTGCAGGTTCGATCCCTTGCACGGTAGAAATACATATTTGTATTCATGAGTACGTTAATTTGTAAAGGTTTTGGAGTTTAGTATGTATATTACATATGTTTTAAAAAATATATTCTCATATCAGTCGTCTAATACCTATAAAAGATATGCTTAGCTAATTATTGTAATTTTTAAATTCGTCAATCTGCACATTTTTGTTTATCATTAACTACTTTCATTACCTATATTTGGGGTTAATAAAACATACAGAATACAAAAAATATAATTTATATATTCATTTATAAAAAAAATTGCAAAGTAATTGTAATCTAATTACCGGTACTTAGTAGTGTTGAAATTAGGCTGATTGGGCCTACATCACATTAGATACAGTACTTTTGGCCCTGTTCTAATTATAGATAGACCTAAATTGCTATAATAAATAAATACTGAATTCTGATAATCATATTAATTCCTGAAATGGTCAGAATTGATTATACGTGATGGCCTTGGTGATCTACCGGTGGTTGCGGTTGTATATCCTTGCACAATATAAACATTTGTATACATGAGTATGATTGTTTATATTAGTTTAGGTATTTTTATATATATTAGATATGTATTTACCAAAAAAAAACTATTTATATCAGTTGTCTAGTTCCCATAACACAAGCTCTGCTAGCTTGGTACTAGAAGACTAACATTATAATAATAAATTGAAAATAATATCTAAATAGCACATAGAAAACCATGGTTTTGTTCCCATTCTGACTGTGACTTGATACATGTCATTTATGACTTGATATTTGTCACGGAAAGCCGATTCTAAGTATAGAATAGAATAGAATAACTTTTATTTCTGAAACTGTTTGTTTCACACACCCCACACTAGGCTGATGGTTTCTATATGACATAGGAACCATTATTTCAATTGCAACAAAATAGATCCAGCCGTAAATTAGTGATATAGAGTAATATATGCTTATACATTTATTATTTTTCTAGGATTTAATAATATTTTGATTGCATACTGTGTACAATGTTGCTGAAAATAGATAACAAGTAAAGAAGTGGGTAAATAGTATCAGTACAATTGTTCTTGATAATATTAATAAAAAAAAACAGTTACTGAGATATATTAGGTGTGAATTTTTACATTCTTAGAGCACTATTAAATTATTAAAAATAAACAAATAAATATTTCTTTAAACTAATTTACAGTGGTTGGTAAAAAATGCTGGTAATAACTCTTAGTGAATTCAGTCATGAGATCTGGCATAGCTTCTGGTAATGTAGTAATTAATCGCGCTGGGCTGCCGGAATATCTTGCAAATGAAGGCACAACTGTCTCAGCTGGGAGGACAGAGTTGTCTTCAATCATGCAACAATCCTTCAATACACACCTTCTACCCTGTAAAGAATGACATCATTTAAAATAGATATTTTCAACAGGTATGGTTGTCCCCTATCGGCATGCATTATATACAAAAAATGTGTAAGAATATACACTATTAAGGTTTAGTATAGTACAGCAATTTTTTTAAATTATCGATAGTGATAATAAATATAAATTAATTATATGACTCACAATAACAACATTTTTTCCAATGTAAACATATGAGCCAACAACAGCAGCATTTACAACTGTATTCTCACCAACAAATACATGATCTCCCATTTGGAGTGGGAAAAATGCAACACTGAAACATAAATGTAAATTATTTACAAATTTTATATAGATATATCCAGATTTCCTTGGACTTTCATTTTTTGGCACACTTTTAGAAGTACAAAGTTATTGAAACTTCAAAAAGAATAAGTTTTCAGCAACATGAATTGAACTATGAGCACTTCATTACACATGCACTGTATATTTAGTTTAATGAAGTATATAAATTTTGATATATATACTATATCCAAATAACTAGTGAAGTAGACTGAGGTGGCAGTGTCTAAGTCACATCTTATGCACTCAGCATATCATATGAAAACTCTGCTTTCCCAGATGTAAATCTATGAATGAATTTATCAAATCAGTGCATTGGTTATAGAATTTATTTTCCACTTAAATTTTTACAATTTTCTTTTAATTTTCAATATAAATAAATTACACACCCTTTACTGAATTTCTTGAAAGGCGGTCGTATAACAGATCCTTTGCTAATGATACAAAATCTTCCTGTTTTCACGTTTGCTAAGTCTCCACGTATGATTGCATCACTTTGTACTATAACTTTGCCATGCAATATTATGTTTTGTGATCCGCAAAGAACTGTCTGTCTGCTCACTTTATTCCCTGAAGCCTGCATAAAATTTATGAGCATTAATAAATGAAATGATTAAGACAAAATGCTGGACAGCGTTTATTTAAAACTTACAGTTTCAACATATTCAGTTTTGTTGTAATATATGTCTTGAAGTTCCATAGTGAAGAAGAATTATATGATGTTTATTACAAATGTTTGCTTTTTTTATTTAAAAAAATTGAATATTTCAGATGGAATGAAATAATAATTATTTTTTTTAGAATTTCGGGAGTAAAATCCGTAATAAAAATTAAAATATTAAAACATATAATAACAATATCAACAATGAGTAACTAACACTAATAATGAACTGTGTTCTGACAAATATTTTTTTTAGATTGTCAGTCAGCTGTCAATTAAATTGTCAGTCGCACGCCAGTTCTAAGAACAATCATCTTCCCACCAAAGAACTTTTATACAACTTCCAGTACGGAAGTGCCAAATAAAACTAAATAAGAAAAATTCTAAAATATAAGTTTTAGTCTAACTGTTTTAATTCTGTTTAATTTATTTTCACATTTTAATTTATTTTTATGAAAAAATATTTACACATACACATCGCACATGTGCTGAGTACGGAGTTTTTGTACTGACTACTCATTTCAGCGTGTAAATATCCCGCGCACTATTCAGACTTTACTTAAAAATCAAGAAACATACAAACCAATTTATGAATATATTGTCTCCACAGTAGAAGATATCTGAAGAAGGAAAAAATAAATTAAAATACAGAAATTATACCGAAGACAACGGCTGTATGGGCTTAGACTCTTTGCCTTTCCATTACGGATAAATAAAACAAAAAAAAAATGAAAACAATAAAAAAATTGGCGGGAAAATTAACACGCTTTTCATTTTCCTCGTTCATTTCACAAACAATATTTGAAGTTTATTAGTAATTCACGATTTATAATTTCATTGTTTTTTTCATTGAGAAATTGTTTCAAATTTAGAGAGCTTGTTTGTTTAACAACAATGGATAGATTCATAATTCGAGAGCCAAGAATTGAAACAGGTATTTATATAATTTGACAATATATTAAAACTAGCGGAATTAGATACCTATTACTACTTACACATACACATGTTAAATTGTTTTTAGAATATCCACAAGGGAATCACGTATGCCATCCTGGAAATGCAGGGGAAAGAGGTATTTTGTAAGTATTTTATTAGCTTTTGATTAGACTAGATGAATTGGTATAACGGAAGAAATCTTTAACTATCTGTTCTTTTCATAGTTTTTAAAAGTTATGAATTACATACTACAAATATATTTTAGTCTAGGCTAGGTAGGTCTAGGAGCATTCGCTCCATTTGTGGTATGGGTTCCAGGGAGTCTTTGAGAGAGTGCTTTAAGGAATCCAATATCCTCACCATCACTTTTCAATATATTTTCAAAAATATCATGTATGCCAGGAAAAATATAGACAATTTCAAAAGAGTTAACGATAACACTAATAAAAGTTTACGATATAATAACAAACTGATTGTACTTACCTAAATGTCGTTTAACTAAAGTTAGTAATTCAGTACAGTAGGTGGAGAGTAGGAAAAAAATAAAAATTGTAATGTAAAAAAATTAAGTTCATAAGCAGCTAAAATGACCTACATGAATAAATTATTTTTGAATTTGAATATCTATAACCTACGTTTATTGCGCATATCTTCGCCAAGACAATCACAATTTCCATTAGGTTTCTGAAAGAAGTATTTCTCTACCTCTATTGAAGAGGTTTGTTCTGATTTCCCAAAAGAATTAGAAGAATTTAGGATTTACCTGAAACCGTCTAGATATAACATTGTCTAATAAATCAAAACCATATTTTTCAATTTCAGCCCATCTGAAAATCTTTACTATGGTGGTTTAGTGGGTCCCGAATATCAAAATGTACGAGTTGGAAATCCTGTGTTTGCAGGACCACCACACGTTAATTCATCGTCTTTCGTCCCTCACAGCATGAGTGTAAGTATTTTATTTTTAAGAAATTGTAGCAAATGCTGTTTTTTATTATAGTAGTAATTTATAACGGTATTGTGAAGTCGCCTGCATTAACCGAAGATGATGGAAAGAGAATGAAGTTAGGTTAGTTGCCCATCACGGTGAATTTGCCTTGAACTAACCACGATGGTTTTGAAGGAGGAACCGGAAGTCTATCTTACAGACATTGCTAACAACAAGGCACTAGTACATATTACTATTGTAATTCTATTAATCTGTACACACGGAATTGAATAAATATATAACTGAATCACGCATAACTTGGCAATTATGATATTAACAGGTTATATATATATATTTTATATCTTCACCAAGAGAGTCAATTTTTATGATTTCTTTTACAAACGGGTTTCAACCGTCTTATAATATATAAAAAATTGAACGCGACTATACTTGATGTATAGTCGCGTTCAATTTTTTTATATGGAATAATGTTACGTACTTGTATTTACTTACTTCACATTTTTTATATACTAACCACTTTTCAATAACTAACAATGGTTTATTAGAGGTTTATAAATAAACAGAATTGTATTTAACTTGAGTTTTTCCGTTTTAGCACCACCAAGGACACAGTCAAATTATGTCTGGAATCGATCCTAGATATCTAGCGGCGTATGCCGATGATAATGCGAAATTCATTGCAACAGGTAAGTACTACAAGTTATTTGGTACAGACAAAATGATTCCAGCGATTTTTTCTTTTTTACATAACAAATTGTCTATGTCCATGCGTGACACAATCTATCTTTACGCCTAAAATGATTAAGATTTCTACAGCCGTTTAATCGTGAAAAGGTAACCAATAGACAGACGGACGTGCTTTCGTATTTATAATATTAATATGGATAATCGTCTATGTCACCTGTTAAGAGATCTTATGTTGAGACCGCAAGGGTCAGGTCAAGATGAAACTGGGATCGACGCCTACACTTATCCGCTTCCTGCGATGACATCGTGAGTTTTGTGGATTATGACACACCTACACACATATAATATGTCTGTAGGTGTGTCATATATAATATAAAAGAGGCCTTTACTATAATAGACTAGCGGAATGCCCCTGATTTCGTTCGGTAGTATTCAAAACTTTACTGAATTTAGTGTATACGTACATTACTTATGACTGTGCAACAACCAAGATGTATAAAAAAATTACCAATCCGTCCAGTAGTTCTGGAGTAGATTACTACTTGATGACGAATGACAACTAAATCCGCACTCACTCTTTTTCCTTCCGATCGATCATATATCATATCCCAGGACTATTCAGACAGAACCGGTCTTGTATTGTGGTTACTAGACAATTGCTATAAATACATACATAGAAAACACCCAGACCGATACAAGCAATTATATTCATGAATACAAAAGTGGTGCAAAATCACTAGACCAAGTCCGTCGATAGTTTTAAAACATCTTACTTCAAGTTCGTTAAATATAACATAAAGCGTTGTATATGTTTATTAGGATTAATGCAACAGGAAGGGTCTGCTATATCTATTAACTCGCCTTTTGGGCGTGATTATCAGAATCGCAATTTGGTTGCGGCGGACCGAAATAAGGCTAAAATGTTTCGACCGCAAATATCCAAGGGTACGAAATACAATTTTATTAAAATAATTCTATTACTATATTTATTTTGTACTATCTAGTTATAACTAAGTAATAGTGTTATTATAAGTACTAAATATTACATTTATTTACCTATTTAGTAAATATGTAAGAGTACTTAGAACTTGTCTATTACCATGCAACTTGCTTTCTAAGGAAAAGCAACGCATGTATAAGAAAGCATGGTGACGTGATCTCCTTGGAGCTGTTCATGTATATAAGCGATGGTTACCACACACCATCAGGTGGACAGTTAATTTGCCTTTCAAATTATATAAATGGGTACTTTTACATAATGTTATCAGGTTTATCAATATTGTAAGAGTCGCCAAAATTGTTTGATATGGTACTGATTTTTCTTCGCGAAACCAAGATTAATTTTTGACGTACGTCGGCAAGGGGCACCTTAAACCTATACCCGGATCACAAGGTCCGGGACCTCCTCAGTTTCCCTCTCTGCCACACGTTGGACTCGATGTCTGTACGGTGAATCTATATAATGTAAGATATTCATCTCTATAGTTACCGACAGATAATTGCATAATAAAATTGAATAAATAAAATATAATATAACATAGTAGCTTTAAAAATATATTTTACCCTAGCATTTCTTATTTTGAGTAATATTTTGTACATGTTCAGAAAAGGTCCAGAAGATAGAAGTTCCTTCAATAAAAGGCTTCGCAATTAATGAGGCCAAAATACCTAGAAAAGATTATAATGTTCAAGAAACCACACAACAAACTCTGTCAGACGGTAAGTGAATTAAATACGCTTAGATACGGTGAATTAATAGTACTAGTAAGAACAATTTTAATATTTTGTTTAAAAAAAGGTCCCGACTCTTGGATCAGGTTAACTAAATCAGAAAATATGTACCTAAGTGAATCTATTAAATTGAAGCGTATGCTATGTTCAAAAAATTCCTAAATTTAGTAGTTCTTATACCACTTGGATTAAAAGCACAAGCAATAAGAACTAATAAATTTGAGAAGATAGACAAATAAAAAGTAATATTTACTTTGTTTATTTATTTTATCCAAAATTCATATAAAATGTTCTCAAAATTGGGTACTGTTGATTAATAAAACTTATTAAAATAACCGACTGAAGTTTTTCTCTACTTCTTAAACAAAAATGTTCTATGCTTTTATATCACCATAACAGGTAGGCACATCGACTCAATATTCCAACTAAAATCATATTCAACGTCGATATCACAGAAGACCGAAGAGCTGGCAGCTACCTCGGACAAAGAATTAGTCTAACCATTCAAAGGGGGAACGCTGCCAGCATCTTCGGAACCTTGCCTAAAAGGACTCCTTTTAATAATATTTTAGTTATATATTTATTATTATATTACATTTATTAAGGTTTTTATTTTTAGGTTCTTTGTTGTATAATTATGTTACATAGTATTGAAGTAGTCACATTAGACTTCAATTTAAATAATATTTTATAGGTTATATGAATATTTATTTCATGAGAACTAGACCTAGTATCAGTCAAAATGAAAACTGCCGCCTTCTTTTCAGCATCGACAACACAGTAACATCTTCTAAACTTGTTTACACCCGGGTTTAACCTAGCCGTGTGGCAGCTCTATAGATATACGTGAGAGGAGCTAAAGCTCCTTAACTCGCCCTAACAAGCTCATTACTCCGTATTTTCGAGAGAACTAAGTTCTAAAGACAAACTTTGTGATACTTGGTTGAATCCGCTCTCGAGTCGCGCCCCAATGGGTTATGAGTTCAAAAAGTCACCGCTATCACCGTGTAAGGACGTGATTTAATTAAAGGAGTACATTTACTAACGGAATGGATTTGCGTCTTTGTTTCTGTTGCTTTAAAGTTTACAGTAAATAGAATTCCCCGTACTCCGGTTCCGATACACAAAACGAAGTTTGAGCCTTTTACAAATACAACTAAGTTGACAGAAGTTCGTTGTGAATGTATCTCCTTTACATGTAGATTTAGGACTACTATTTTTGGATTTATTGATTTTTTACAAACCGTATTTGCTCTGGATGGTGATATTATGTTTATTACTATTTACATTTTTATGAGGGTAATACTATTATAAAGACGTGGGCCTTGAAAATTTATATTAACTTTGAAAATGATTAACTGTATATAGATATCTCAAAATAGATTACACAATACAGTTTTTTTTTTCAGGTATACTAAGGTTAGAATATTATTTTTTAATTTATTTTAGTATCTGCAAAGAAGATAGAAAATGCAGGCAGCTCCAAAAATGAACATCAAATTCAAGTCATGAGTCGTTCTGATAAGCTCAAAGTGAGTAAACTTATTAAACTTGAGTTAACTTAATAATTTAGTTTTCCACTTACTTCATTCGGAGATGCTACTCGTTAATCAGTCTCATTAAGCTATCACTAATTTATTAATGCAATCTCTGCATAAGATGGATGCTATTAGATATACTTAACTAGTATAGTAATTTTATATAAATTTGTGAATACTAATAAAATGAAATTTTTTACTTTTTTTATTTATTAAAAATTACATGATAAGAAATTAAATAAAAAAATAATATAATATATTTTGTCCTTTTATGCACTTTATAAGTTTTTATCACTATCCCTCTCATCCAGTTCGGCTAGCTTTTATGTATTACTTGTTATATGTATATACTAACTATTAGTTAGAAGTCTGGCCTCTTGTATATTTGGAATAACTTGGGAATTTTTACTGCAACACGTACCCTTTATGAAGTGGGCGTCCATTACGGAAGGATTTCTAGAAATGCCTACAGTAAAAGGAGATAACAGGCTCACAAAAAACCTACGAAAAATAGCCACAAACCTACTTTATAAAAGTGTATGAATGAATGCTTACATACATCATGAATCCGCGACATAAAAGGGCTGCGAAGTAGAGAAAAAACAACAGCGCTTGGCTGCGGGATATTAATAAAATTTATGGTCCATTTTATTTGTATTTACCTCATGTGCAACGAAAAATTATGTTTTACAGCTCTGATAAACGAAAACATGCAGTTAATATATTTGGAACATATATCTCACTTTAAATAGCGAGAGATGCGAGGACTTATATCGTGCACGAATATCAGTAGATTATTTATTCTTGATTTACATTTACACCCCGTTTCTACTACATACAAATCGTAATATAAACTATGTATATGTTTCAAATATAATATGTAGGTGTAAACAAAAATGTCTCTGGACTTGCTCCTTTAACTGAAATTATTAAAAAACAAGGGAAATATGTATGTTTCACGTGTTAATATATATAATATTGCCATAAACATATATGAATGGTATGTACGGGATTTTTAGAAATAGGATGATAGATTTATAACCATCATTACCAACACCAGGTTTGGTCGCCCTCTACGCGGTTACCTCATAATTGGTAATTCTTAAATTTGTAACGATGGGTTAATTTACATGACTTGATGCTCATCTTATTATAATCTTTCTCTGGTGCATTGCTAGCATATACCGTTAGCACAGGTAGGCGCATCCTTCCATTTTATTCCTATAAAAAAATGCGAAAGCTTTATATCATTATTATAATTTTTATTATTAACATAAATATTTTATGCCAAAATAGCTCCATATAACATACTTGGTTATCAATTTAAAATTTTTGGCTTCATTTTCCAAACCAACTACTAGCTTAACTCCATAAAATAAAAACAGAAAGAAATTCTTGTAATAAAAGTAACTGCTAGCACTTTCCTTTGTCATTTTCGAATAATGGCTAGTGATTTAGTCCAAATAAATAAAGTCGGTTCAAGGAAGAGCGCCGGTACGTCCGTTAGATGCAATATCCGTTGCTTTGTCTCGGAGAGAGATTTTTTTACTTATCAACAAAGATTTATGATTTTGCGATTAGTAACTCTTTTGCGCCAAGAAAATATTTGAAAAGAAAAGAAATACTTGTCTATTGCCAGTAGATATGATAACCTGTATTTCTCTTTGACTTATTTATATATAAAGAACTGAAATTTATTAAGTTTGCATTTAAAAATATATATATATTTGTAAATACATACATAATAAACATAGAAAATACCCCGACTGATACAAACATACTCATGAATACAAATATTTATAATGTGCAAGGAATCGAACCCGTGATCATCGGAAGTAAAGCGGTATGTTAAACCGCTGTTCATGTTTTATATTTAACTTATTTCTATAAAACAAAGTTGTTTTAACAGGAATGTACAATCGGTTCATACCAACAGGCAAGAGAGGCTGTGAAATCATTTCCAAGTACTTATTCCGTATCTGTGAACTTTCTCAGGTTCATGTTTACACCTCATTGAGTTTTCTTTGGGTTGAAACATCGTGACTAATGTACCTTTGCCAATATAATTAGTTCTGATATTATATTAAATAAATGTTGTTTGTAAATACCTAGTAATAAATAAATGGCTAAATGACAGACATACATATCGCAACTTAGAAACTTTTAGATATTATATTTTCAGAATATTTTTTAAATAAAATAAAATCTATGTCCAGGATGGACAATAATACCATCTATATTCATAAAAAATTTCATTAAGATCCTTTAAGCCGTTTAGTGAAAAGGTAACAAATAAATAGACACCCTCGTTTTCGCATTTATAATATTAATTGTATATACATGGATTGATTGATAAAGAATAAATTAATAATAGATACATTTATTTTCAATACATGAGATTATTATGTACAAATAGAAAAATAAATAAAAATATATTTATAAACGACTCTCAAATAATTCTATACTTCTAAAAATATCCACCAAATTTTTCATGCACATATTTAAAAATGACTGCTTTACAGGCACTATATAAAAGCGGAACACGAATCTTCTCTGGGCCGGTTGAAAAGGTCCTTAAATGGCACAAGTCATTACAAGATATTGGTGTATTGGTGCTGTATGAGATCGTTGGTAAGTTCATGAAATAAAAATAATAGAAATAGAAATAATCTTTATTCAAATAAACTCATTACAAGCTCTTTTGAATAGTCATATTTTGATTCTTCCACTCATTCGGAATGCAGATTCATCACAAGAAGAATGAGCAAGAAACTTGTGTGTTGCTCTTTTGAATATATGTTTATTTTTTTATATAAATAATTACAGTATAACAAGTAAGAGGCATGCGATAATCAACATAGAAATCGCTACGCACTCAATCATTCAATTTCATAGTAAGCTTTTTTGTAAAGGAAGTGTTTTTTATGACATTTAAATCTGTTTTTAGGCAGATTTATAACAGACTTAGGTATTTTGTTCATGTAATGTGCTTCCTGTATAGGTGCCATATTGGACAGGCAAATTATATTTCTGACTGACAAATAAAGAAACACTGATAACAAAAAATAATTTGAATTACATCGGTAGGGCTACCTTACACGTTGGATTTGAAATATAAATATGTGAAATGTGAACATGTCAAGTGTTACCATGACATCGATAACTGAAAATGCTTCTGACTCTCTTATTTGGGATAGAAGTCGCGACGATATGTTTTTAATATTTCTACATCATTCTGATAAAATAACAATTACCTATTTGTCTTTGTGAAGGATTTCTTCTTTTTTTATATATTTGAAATAGAAATAATTACAAAATTACAAAGAACGATGACATTCACAGAAGTATAAAATTCTTTTGCGAATATCGAACTTGAAAAATTTTAAAATGATTTCTTCCACTCTAGTATAGTAATAATGTATAGTACATTAGAAGTCGACCTCCTCACGGTACCCTCCCGAAACTATCATGGTTAATTACTGATAAATTCACTACGATAGGCTGGCTGACCAGATTTTACCCTCAACCTATCATCCTCCACTCAGCCCCCTGTACCTTTTATACCGTTATCTATCAAATATATGTATAATATTATGTAAGAGCGGGTAGATACTGGACGACTCATTATTACGATAAATAAATAATAAGTACTACATATTACCTATATAATAACTAGTTACATTTACTTACGTACAATTCTTGATTCCAATATTTCAAGAAAATGCACTGATTTCAGCGAAATGTGTGAGCGTGAGGCCTGGGGAGGCATGTGCCAAGAATTTAGTGGTAAGAGACGAAAACGGACCAGCTATGCAAGTCGTTTATTATGAGGTGGACTTTTTGTTGCCTGAACTGAAACCGCCATGCACCATTAGGTGATTTATATCCATTCACTTTACAATTCAAATTGTAAAAGATTTTATTTTATAAAAAATCATTTGAACTACCAGAAATGGACTGTAAAAAGTTGTCTCCATGGGTCATATTATAGTCGCTAAGAGGCATGCTTTGTGAATTGTTTTTCGGCTGTAGGAATTAAGCAGTGAAAATATATATTACGGATAAGAGGCATGAGTCATGAGATGTTATGCGCATGACCTCTAAGTCTCCTGGAATGGCCAAGCATGAGTGGTATCGCGGATTCATGTACATATGTGGTTGGATGCAACTGTGTATATAGTTATTTGGAGTTTACGATCTTAGCACTTGTAATAATGTAGGAACGGTAACTATAGTATTTTCAGTTTATGCACCATATATATAGGCATACTGTATGATGTATGTATATTAATAAAGAATTTAATTTTTTATTTAAGTGACTCTAAAATTACTAGACTACTTCGAAAATATATACCTACATTATCATAGAGTAACTTTCGTAATTTTACGCTGGTAGTACCAAGAGCTAAAACTAGTACCTGTATACTATGTACATGCTACAAGGAGTAGCCGTAGTCACTGTTTTGAGAAAGTGACATAACGTAACGAAATTTTACGAACTAGACATTCTTTATAATATAATATATTATATTCAATATAATAAAATAGATCCCACACTAAAAATTATGTAGGTATACATTTTATTATATATGAGTGAAGAAATAAATATTCCATAATAGGTATGTGACGATAAAGTTTAATGAGGCATAACATAAAAGCCATTTTATTAGGGACACGAGCCATATAATAGTTTTTAAAGGAATAGAAGTTTGCAGGGTTATAGGTAAAATGATGGCGGGTACATCCAGATTCCAGGCTTTCCACGTGCGACCTGCTACCGGGGACGACGTCGCTACGTTACCTCGACGTACTGCCGTCGCCGTTCACCACGTCGCTAAACTGTGTAAAGAGTACGGTACAAATATTTAATATCACAATTAAAATAATGTACATGCAATACCTAATTGAAGATTTGGTTTACATGTCAATATAGTATAAGTCAGCAAATGTTCATATTTGCAGTTACGAAATTACAGTATGTTACTTTCAGATAAAATGTCATATGGAATTGTTTAAGTAATGTTTTAAGTAATTAAATAGTAGTAATTAAAATAATTGGATTTTTCTAAATGAAAAACATATTGTAGGTGCCTACAAGTGTCAGATTGGAGAAAACTTTTCTTATTTACTTGATTCACTACATATATCACATAATATATTCTCGACACGGTATTGAATACACACATAATAAGTTAAATGATTAGATTATTTTATAGAATAATTAGATTATTCTTTGAGACAATCAAAGAATTTCTAGGTAAACAAAATTAAAAGGTATTAACCGAGACAAAATTGTCTACGATTCGTTGGAGTCAGTGAATATGAAAATATAACTTTTCACTTGAGTTTCCATCCTTATACTTCATATTATGTATCTATCCGTTTCGTTTCAAATATCACTCAAATTGGGCGATAGATTTTAAATCAAACATGGCACATCGAAATCCCGTATGTCTAGGGAAATCAGTTACAATGTTCCATTCAAATTGCATCTTTATGCCACAACAGATTCACTTCCACAACTATCTAGCGTTGGCAGATTTTCAACTTGCTTCGGTTTCATCGTTATCTTATTTTCCCTAACGTCGCTGGGAAATGCTTTGGATCGCTTTTTTTAAGATTTTGAAAGTATTGGCCGTCATAAACTGTGATATCGCAGGTTGGGTGTATGCCAAACGATATACTCATTACCATTAGGATATGTACTCGTATATTGCAGACTAGCAAATAAATGGTTTGGAAATACTTAAATTTTCAATGATAATTTTTGTAATGCCGATTTTTTTATAAAGGTATATTATTAAATATATAAAATTGAAGTGTCTATTTGTAATTTCAAATTATCAGCTTTTCATTAGATGCAAATGAAAGTATATAGGTACGGTACTTACATAAAAAAATAAATAAAATGCTTGTGTTTACTTACATACACTCATGTCACAAACAAACAAAGTTGTATCGTACAAAGATGTAAAACACAACAATATCTGTCAACGTTTGCGAATTTTATTACATTCAATAACGTTTCTCATACTAAGATAAACTTGTTAGAGTATGACATGGAAATTGTTGCACCCTTCTTATTATTATGTCATAAAAAGGGGTCATGGGATTAACTTCAAATTCATAGATGTTTTACGACTCAAGTGCCGGTAATAAACCAACAGCATCACAGGTGTAAAGTTTCGCTAGAGCGTGATATTCTAGATAGTAAGCGATATTGAAATAGAAATTTTGCTCAACGATCTTGGTTAATATATAGGTACTCAAGCATATATAAAGTTTTATAAGTTTGCTCCTGAAGCTTGGTTGCTGAATAGTTTTTTTATTTTTGCTCTGTACTATTAAAATAGTATCCTATTCATCAATAGATATGTTTTTATTATTACTACTGCTACCCTTATAACCTTTGATATTCTACGATTCAATGGCTTGAGTTTTCTTAGAAATTTATTATATATAGCTTAATAAATTCATTAACTAAAGCCTATATTTTCAATAATACGTTTTTATAAAATTTTACCATAGTTAGATTTATTATCTATAGTTCTATAATTATACTATTTATTCTTCTGTCATATACTCGTATTATTGAAAAGTTATAACGATGCATTACGTAAATAATAGTTTAGCTGAGACAGATTTATTTTAGATCAATATGAATTGTTTATATAAATAATAATAAGCTTAATGAGGCTTATGTGTTTTATGTAGTTAAGTATCTACTTTCTAGATCTCGTTGACTTAAGTCTAACTTAGAATTGGCTCTTGTAAAAGTAAATATGCATTTATACGACGTAATTTCAGGGATGAAATCTTGGATGGCATAAAGATGACGGCAAAAGTATATTCTAGATTAATTTCAAAGTTTAAAGAACTTTTGAAGAAGTCAATCTAAGTTGGAAAGTTGTGGAGGTGATAATTTTAAAATGGCTACGTGTTAAAAAGGTGCCCTGGGTCAAACTTACTCTTGTATGGTTTATTTTTAAATAAAGTTGCTTTTAAAAACTACTTACTAACTCTCTCGCAGTGAAATTATTCATTCAGAGCTTTCAATTACGGACAATTTACGTTCACTGAAAATTTCATTAACGACCTTAAGAAACTTCATCTTGACGAAAATTACGATTTTCCGTCGAATGGACGATTAACATGCAAATTGCATATTAATTCTCGCGAAATGGCCAGTCATTAAAAGTTAATATTAAAGGATCAAAGGATCGTTGTTAGCTATGAAATAGGTTTCTCACAGTTGATTAACAATGAATTAAATACCTCTGACCTCTGCGACGGTCTCGGATAAGATCTCAGAATGACGAACATTGTGTTTCCATTTGCAATAAGTTTAAAATTTGAAACACTTTTCACAATAGAGAGGGGAATACATCTGTGGAAGATTGTATTAGTTTTTGTTATTTGCGGTTATTGCATAACATGTTCTCGCGAGGAAAAGTATAAAGATTTTTTGAATCTTTATACTTTTCCTCGCGAGAACATGTTCGTTCATAGCGAAATCCGGTCCGTGTTAGAATTGTTTCGGAATTTTATGGAGTGCTGGTAAATTGCACAATTTTTACTGGCGCCAGCCGCAGCTGAAATATTTCAAATCTTGTTCATTCCTTGATTGTATTTAGATGCTGTTATATTTTAATCCTTATGTTGAGAACTCCATTGAGGTGTTAATAGGTGAATGTAAATATGAAAAAGCATAGTATACATTTTTACGTAACCCTATTATAATACTAACTGCTCGAAATACAGCGTATGTATTTATTGTGCTTATTATTAAAAACAAACGTTCAACATATTAGTTTAGAAACATTATACTAAGTGCAAGGTTATGTTATGTATTTCATCGAGGTTTGAATTATGAAAATATATACTACTAGCTGTGCCCGCGACTTCGTCCGAGTGGAATAATGACCTTAGATAGCGTTAAATATTTAATAATCTAACCCATAAAGGCCATATAAAAATGTTTCAGCTTAAAAAAATTACTAATGTCCATAAAAATTAACATCCTCTATATTATATAACCCCCTTAAGGGTAATATTTTATCAAATTTTAAATGTCATATTTATTTATATTTAATCAACAACCTAAACATAATTTTCAAGCTACTAGCTTTTTAAATGTTGATACTACCATACAACCATTCAGTTCCTGCCACCCCTTACAACCCTTTTTTCATATTAAAAAGTAGCCTATGATGTCCTTTTTCAAGGTCTAGACTATCTGTGTATAAAATTTCATTTAAATCGGTTCAGTTGGCGTGAAGGCGAGACAGACAGAGTTACTTTCGCATTTATAATATTAGTAAGTATTGATATTTTACATAGAACATATTTAGTTGTATATACTATATTTTTGTATTCTAGTTTTGCAGTCGTCTAATCATATTTCTATTCTACCCTACTGGTCTTGTTTACAATGTCCGCCAACGTGTTCTATACCAACATGATGTTATATCGTTTCTTAGTTAGTTATTTACATCGTATTCAATACCAAGATTCGAATAATATTTAGTAAGTGCGAATATTTCTAGTTCTACCACAGATTAACAATATTAGAAATAAATTCAACTTTAGTCTTAGTCATCCGAATATACCTATTATTAACTTTAATACTAATTGCGTATAATTGTATATGCACTAATACTCAGTTTCCGGCTTATACATAGATGATAATAAGATATCAACCATTTCAAGAAAGAAAACTAATTAGATGGTTTATAATATACTAGTTGTGCCCGCGGTTTCATCCGCGTGAACTTTATAGCTTATATGTTATTCTGATGTTATAAGCTATGTTACTGTAAAGTTTCATCAAAATATATTCAGTAGTTTTTGCGTGAAAGAGGAACAAATATCCATCTATAGTCACAAACTTTCTCGTTTATAATATAAATAATATATATTAATAATTCTGTGAAAAATCTATTCCGCGTATTTCAATACACTTATTTCATTATGTTAGAACATAATGCGTAAATTTGAAAAAAAAATAGTTTCTGTATAAATTTGAGTAAGCTTAAGTTTTAAGTTATCGCGAATGCATATAAATTACCTTAAATATGCGATATAAATCTCATCATAAGTAATGAGAAATTTGATATTAGTTATGTGGAAAAGATTATAAGCTATATTTTATCTATGAAATATCTAAGTTGAAGATTAAATATGTCAATTACAGAGAGAGAGGCGTAAATATATTAACTTAATTGCGAATTCATAATGTACTTAAGTTCTAACCGTTTACGTGTAATCTGCGTTCCTTATCACGACATGGATATTCGGTGTTAAACCAACAAACGTCCATTCAGTAACGCTAATTTCTATAATTGTATCTGCCTATATTGCTAGAAGACTAATTATTGTTACTTATATAGGAATCATGCCATTATGCTTATTTATATAATGTTTATTAATATAAGTTTAAGTAATTATAAGTGCAAATTACGATTTACCTAACCAGTAATCCTTTCTACTAATTTAGTATGACATATTTATAAATATAAGTTAGTAAGTATCGATATTCTAAATTGAAGATAAAATATATGTATCAACTACAGAGCATGTAAAGTAAATTAAAGCCGTGAATACATTGACACTAACTGGATTGCGAACTCAGAACGTAATTAAACCGGACTAGCCGAGTTCTGACCGCTTACGTGCGGTCTGCGTCCCTTCGCACCACACGGATAATCAGTGTTAAACTATGTCCATACAATAACGCCAACTTGTATAATTGTCTCTGCCTACATTGCTAGAAGACTAATTGTAGCTGCCTATATAGGAACATGCCACTAAAGTTATTTATAAAGTTTAAGTCGTATAGGTAAGTACGGATTACGATAATTCTCGACCCGGTAAGTCTCTCTTCTAGCTTAGTATCCCATGATATTAAACGGTAAAAAGAAGAGATTTGTGCTAAACGGAAAAAGATACAATTTG